ATGGGCACTTGCTAAGGTCAAAGCATCAGTGTTGTGCCAGTTCACAGCTTTTCTGAACTAGTTCAAGTTCAGTTCATCCATGCTCAAAGTGAACAGTTCACGTTCAAAGTTCACATTTTTAATTCTGAACTAGTTCAAAGTTCAGTTCATTTTACTTTTTTCGTGAGATACTTAAATACATATGTTTTTCACACTACGAGCTATATATATATATATATATATCTCCTGTACACCCACAGGAGGAGAGCCTTTTGACCACAAAACAGACTAGATTTACATGGTTTTCAATGGGAGCAATACGGAGTTGCTCCATCTCTGCTCATAAACCACAGACAGTAATGCGCTGCAGTGCGTGTGTCTATACTTTATGTCAAATGTAAACGGTGTAAACTTTGTCGCTAACTCACCCTGTGTTTTCATCACGACTTGGGCACATGTGAAGAGCACCAGCTCACAGCGCCGCACCGCAACACACAGTCGGGGTGCGTTCACCGACCGTGGAAACCGTAGGAATTTTTAGATTTCGGCGGAAAAAGTGCGAGAATACAGGAGGGAGGAACTTTCTCTTGTTGCGTTTCAAAAGAGAAACAGATTCCAACGTTCATAGTGATGTCTGCCGTTCATGACACATAAAATGAACTAATTCACGTTCAAGTTCTTTTTTTAAAAATGTGTTGCGTTCAGTTCAACGTTCACAAAAAATTGAGCGTGTTCAATGAACGCGTTCTTTTGAACTCGTTCACGCACAACACTGCAAAGCATAAATGTGAAAGCACACATTTACGGATTTAAAAGCACATAACAAGTATAGTTTTCAGTAATTATTCCACTGATGTTTTGCAAAGGTGTCGCGTTAGGTTTATGCATTAGATGTTTTATGATAAATAGTGGTATATCTTTAATTTTTCCATTGTACGCCGAAGGGGTGTGCACCTGCGGAGAATAAAGTCACCGTCATTGCAGTGATGCTGCTTTTAGCCAAAATGCATGGCATGCATAGAAGACTATGCTATGGCCTTTGCTGACGACGTCAGCACACAGGGGCAGCAGTGGCTCCTCTCCTCTACTGCACTGGTCCACCCTCCTTCCCACACAGGTCACACACACAGTTTGCACAGACCAATCAGAAAATATGTTGAAACATTTGAACTCACTTGACTGATTAATCAGTGGCTCTAGATAGTGTTTTATTGAGCCAATAGGTAGCAGCAGAGCTTTGTGGGTGTCTCGTCAAAGATCACCGTCTGAGCACTGTGTGCAGGAGAGACGGAGGCGATGGAGACAGGAGGAATACAGCCGGGGACAGGATTCATTTGGAGGCAGTTTGAGCAGCAAATATGTCTCTAGAGCTGACATATTATATCTATCACTGAGCCTGCACCAGGAGCCAGCGGCGAAGTCCGGTTATCGTCACAGCGCTTTGCTACACAAAACAGAATTACAATCCTTAGATGTAACTTCGCAAAGACACACAAATGCGTGCATAAATGTACATACATGCGCACACAAATACACAAAGACACACAGCAGTATTCTATTGCACGTATACAGTAGTCTGTTTACTTTAATAAACTCTATAAATGACAATAAACTAGCACTTTGAGATTTCGCTGAAATGTAAAGTGCATTATACATAAAATGTATTATTAAACCTTTGTAATTTTGTTATTCTGAGACTTACTGTTATTGACAAATATAGAGCCACCTAATTGATGAATACTGGCCATTCTTTCTGGCATAGTTTGCTATGGGCTCTAATTTCAATATGTAAATGTTGACGTTTTTTGGATGAGTACATTTTGAAGTATTTGAACAACACTTTGTGGGTGTGTGTGCCATAAAACGTATTTTTTTGCATCAAAAACACTATCATAACTTGTTGTTGCTGTTTTCTAACATGTAAGACCCTGGACATGTTTGAGGAGATGCTAAAGTCAAACTAAGTAGTGTTAGTCAGGCATTATTAAATCATGCTCTTTTCGAATACATCTTTAACTGATAACAGTAGATCAGCCGAGATATTTGAAAATCAAAATTAGTTTGAATTATTATTATTATTATTATTTAATTATATAATATCACATACTATGTGAAAGCTCAAAAAATGGCTAAAGACAAAAATCAAGACGTTTACAGATTATAGCTTAATTGTAAAAAGAATTATTTGAGACCACATGTACCCCAATAAAAATGTCTCTTTTTGATGTGGGACTTGTCTAAAAAATAGGGAATAAAATAAATCGAAGGGTGATATCCTCTGGAGGAAACCCTGATGTTGATACGCTGAAGAAATATGTTCCAACATCCATTCTTCTCACTCATCTTTTGGACATCAATTGCTTATTTATTTTGCATTATCTATGTATAATTACATTGCTTTTAATTTGTTTTTTTCATCTCAAATATCCAAATTAAAAAAAATAAAACATTCATTCAAAACATTCATTCAACATTAGCATGGCTATCATGGCAATGAGACAGACAAACATCTGATAAAATAATTCCCTGTGTTTGCTGCTGAATTTGGTGTGTATCTAGCAACCTGAGTCAGGGAGAGGACTACAAAATATTGACTGTGACTGCAGTACCACTTTTGGCCAGATATTTTCATAATGCTCCTTTAATCATACAGCTCCTCACTGCAGCCGTGGAACGCTCCATTGATTTTACTGTAATTTCAAAACGTTTTACCAATCATTTCTTCATAGCGGACCTCTCAAATCAATAATGGCCGCTGCCTTTGGCAACGCACACTGTGCTCGTAATCCGGACAGTAGTTCGCACACTTCGTCACAACGTGCTTTCAGCGCCTGTCACTTATTACCTCTGTTTGAGAGAAGCTACCGAAGCTAGCCACGCTCTATAAACTCTGTTAGTAGAGTTGTTGGATTTTCATTAAAGTGAATTAGAATATATTCAAAGTTTAGATAGCTTTGGGTTAACCTACGTGTGTGATAGATGGAGAATTCTCCCAGCCCCCGGGCAAGAGTGAAAGAGCATAAGTAAACGAGCAGAGTAAACAAAACAAGCATGAAAGAAGGAAACATCTGTGTTTAGACAAGAAGACACTTATCCTGACTGATGAGAGGAGATTGGTTTTCTCACCTAGAGTTCGATGTGACCATTTGGTGACAATATGACCTATGTGTTTCAAATTATCAGGGTATAAGACCAGAGCTCTTGGTCCATTCTTGGTCACTCTGCTGCTTTCCATCTAGCAGAGACCCAGACTGCTGCAGTCTGTAAAACTTGTCCGTGTGTGCTGATGTCCAGATAACCTGTAGTTTTGAACCAGCGGCTGACAACATGTATTAAAGAGATTATGTTGTTGAAATGTGAGTAGTTTATTCACACTCCAATATCAATCAACACATTTTAATGTTAATCTGAGAATACATTATACATTTATATTCTTAACACACGTGCACAGAGGTTTTCACAATTCTCTGTTAATGTTTTCATGACAAAAATACTGTTTTAATGTGTCAAAAAGCGATTGCGGTAAACCTGGAAGTAACCATTAACAGTAACCATCTGCAGAGGATCTGATTATGGCTTTAGGTTAAGTTGGGTCACTCACTGCTGATGTTCACAATTCATGTAGTTCCAGAGAGTTCTAGTTAGTTAGTTAGCTAGCTAGCCTAACTGTTACTCTCCTCGCCACGTCATTTGATTGGTTAAACTGGACGGCGTCGCAGATTTTAAGCTATAGCTAAGATAAGGGAAGGTGAGACTTACCCAAAATATTGTAACTTATAAAATGACTTATTTTATATCAACATTTAAGACCAGGAGGTGAATTTAATACAATTCTTAAAATTTATAATTTAAGTAGTAAGTAAGTAGTAAGTAAGTAAGTTTTTATTTATATACCGCCTTTTCACTGCAGATCTGAGTCTCAAAGCGGTTTACAATTGTTAAAGGAATAGTTCACCGTTTTTACATACTGACATATGTTCTTACCTTACCTTAGACTAGTTAATACGTACCTGTGTGATCTTAGTCCGTGCGCTCTGTCATGCAAACGGAGCAAAAACGGGAGGACAAATGCAGCCTCCTCTGGTCACTGTGTAGCACCAAAAGGTAGCTCCCGCTAGAAGCTACCAAACTCTTCCAAGTGTTCCCTATTAAATGTATATAGTTACGTGACGTGTTACACTGCAAAGTATAGTAACACAGAAATGTAACTGTCGATTTTCTCAGCGGATAAAACGGGTACTATATTGTGAGGCGTAGTAATCTGAGGTGCGCTACGTCCGCGCACTAACTTCTCTCCGTACTACAAGTCACGCTGCTTCTATTGACGGAAGTGAGCGAGAGAGAAGTCTCCGGAGAGAAGTTAGTGCGCGGACGTAGCGCACCTCAGATTACTACGCCTCACAATATAGTACCCGTTTTATCCGCTGAGAAAATCGACAGTTACATTTCTGTGTTACTATACTTTGCAGTGTAACACGTCACGTAACTATATACATTTAATAGGGAACACTTGGAAGAGTTTGGTAGCTTCTAGCGGGAGCTACCTTTTGGTGCTACACAGTGACCAGAGGAGGCTGCATTTGTCCTCCCGTTTTTGCTCCGTTTGCATAACAGAGCGCACGGACTAAGATCACACAGGTACGTATTAACTAGTCTAAGGTAAGGTAAGAACATATGTCAGTATGTAAAAACGGTGAACTATTCCTTTAATGTTGGGCATTTGTCTCTCACTCCACACAGAGATGGGAGCGGGGTCACCAGTACAGGAGGCACATGCCAGAACTATTGGACATATTTTTTTAGTGGTAGGGGAAACCGGAGTACCCGGAGGAAACCTACGCAGACACGGGGAGAACATGCAAACTCCACTCAGAAAGGCCCTGGTCCGACCGGGATTCGAACCCAGGACCTTCTTGCTGAGAGGCGAGAGTGCTATCCACTCAGCCACCGTGCCTGATTTAAGAGTATAATCTTGCCATCCCTGGTCCATTCACCTTTCCCCGTTGGTGCTCTGTGTCCAGGGTTCATCGAGTGTGAGGAGCCCAACAATCGTCTGGATAAATTCATGGGAGCAATGCTGTGGAAAAGGGAGCGTTATCCCGTGGATCTGGACAACATGCTACTGAGAGGCTGCACAGTCCGCAACACTGACGTTTGCCACGGACTGGTCATCTATGCAGGTATAGATCAGTAGACCAGTCCGCTCCCCTGCCCACAACATAGCATACATAAACAGTTGAGAGAAGAGCGGGGCTGCTCAACTGAAGTGCAGATTATGTGTAGTAACTGTCTGTGCAGAGTACTGAAAGATTGTGACATAGGTAGGTCTGGGATAATGATTATCATCCAATACAGTATTGGTAACTGTTTTTCACCATTTGTGGATGAACATCAGAAAAGTACTTCCTTTGAGTTTATCATTCCACTAAAACCTGTATAATTGATACAATCCATCAGTTCCAGTTGTTCTGACATAGTAGAGCATGAAAATCTGGAAGTGACCACTGCTGCTGTCTGAGGCCCTATTGGAATTCCAGGAAGGGTCAAATGCTGAGGACACATTCTACACTACAGTATCAATGCTTGATTGATTGATTGATTTTTTTATTCATTCGAGCAGAAATTTTACAATCATAAGTATTTACAATATTTACATTCCTTATGTATAAAGAATCATCTTTATACATACATGTTGCCTGCTGTGCTTACAGTTTATACTTATACATAGAAATATATAAACAAACTATACAATCAAGCAACAATAGTTTCCCTAGTTACACCATGTGTTATACATCGCAATATCAATACACAAATGAACCTCTATTTACAATTTGTCAGCTCGAAATGGAGTGGGAAGGAAGTAAAAACTTGTCGACTCCCACCCCATAAACATAATTCAAAAACATGCAAGAATGTTGTTATTTAGCATTGAATAAATAATACCTTAATAATAATTTCTCGTGTTCAGTGCGATTTAATACTTTTATAAAGTTACATCTGTAACAATGATCACTGTGCCCCAGCAAGGCCCAGCGCCCCAACTCAGGCCAACTCCAGTCACAAGAAGCAGCCGCCACAGCAGTATTTTGAGCAGTATCAATGCTCAAAATACATATTTTTGTCCATGTGCCTCTGCAGCTCTTCTTTTTGTTGGTATCTAGTAAAAATTCAGCGGTTTAAAATTAATATCAAAGTAAATACCAACAAATCCAACAAACTTGTAATATCATTATAATGAATATCTATGGTATCTATAACAAAAAAATGATAAACCTGAACGGAGAAACAAGTGGTTGCAATAAAACACAATTCTCTAACATACAATTTTAGAGGTGCTCTTGCTACAAATTACGTTTGCAGTTACTCTTGTTATTTTATTTTGGGGACAATGTAATTTAAAGGAGCCGACACCAAGATCATGCGTAATGGAGGAAAGAGCAGGTTCAAGCGCACCAGGATCGACGAGCTCATGAACTACATGGTGTACACGGTGAGTACACATTGGAAACATTACGTTTTATACTTCAGATACTAGATTGAAGTATAATTTAAGATCCTGTGAATATATGTAAACTAAAAAAAGATGAAGAGGACCCTGCATTTTTTTCTGTAACTGCCAAATATTGTTATGTAGGTATGCTGTTTGGCAGTGCTTACTGTACTCCTCTCTCTTATTAGATCTTTGCGCTGCTTATCCTTGTGGCGGCTGGGCTAGCTATCGGTCACAGCTTCTGGTATGAAGAGATTGGCAGCAAAGCTTGGTACCTGTTCGATGGGAAGGGATACACCTCGTCCCACCGGGGCTTCCTCAGCTTCTGGGGCTACATCATTGTACTCAACACCATGGTGCCCATCTCCCTCTATGTCAGGTCAGTGACGAGAGCAAACATTATTTTGACTTCCTAATTTACCATTCACTTTATTTCATATGTTCTACTAATGACAATCGTGCAGCAATTTAATACAGTGAGAAATTGTTACATGACATTTTATTTTCATCATTACTGACTAATGTTTCTCTTCCAGTGTGGAGGTGATTCGTTTGGGCCAAAGCAAATTTATCAACTGGGATCTACAGATGTACTTTGCTGAGAAGGACACGCCTGCAAAGGTACAAGCAAGCAACATGAATCTGTGAAGACTGTCCCTGGCAGCTCAACATTGAATGTATTGACATGTCTCCTTTGACACTATGCTTTGCACTTAAAAGTTCTCACACCAGATTATACAAAATCTATAGGGACACTTGTATGGCTTCTGGAGGACAGTAACTTTGTTCAGTGGCTGAACAAAGTCTGTCAAAATAGACCAGTCTAAGCAAGGCCTGAGAATCAGAGAAACTATACATTTAAAGTGACTAAATTTGAGTGACTATTATTTTACCAGCTTGTATACAATACAGTCTTTTAAAGGTTTCCGAGGGTCCCAATCAATTCTTTTGCCCACAATTTTCCCTGTGTGAAATCAAACATGTTTGCTTTTCTGACAAACCCAGTGAGCTCTTAATTCCATCAAATGGTTCAAGTTCATGATTGTTCCATCTTTAATAGAAGCAGCCTGGAATGGAAACTTTATTTTGTACAGTGTTTCTTGAGTTGAATATCCACACACACGATAAATATAAAGCTAGAGATTGAGTCGAGTTCAATGTTGTGAAACGCTTAAGCCCTGCCCTGACGGTAGTGCACCTGAATGATGACTTTATTTAAGACTTTACTGTGCATTGTATTATCTCCATGTTTTTTTACTCTGCTTTCTGCAGGCTCGCACCACCACTCTGAATGAACAGCTGGGCCAGGTAGAGTACATCTTCTCGGACAAAACGGGTACTCTAACGCAGAACATCATGGCCTTCAAGAAGTGCACGATCGCAGGGCGCAGTTACGGTAAGCAACTGCTATCTCCATGCTTTGAACAAACACAATAAGTGAAAAAACAACAAACACTGATATAATTATAATGGTGTTAATTATATTATAGTGTTTGTGATCCCCTCCCATACTTAAAAAATAATGACGCAGCTTGTTTCTTTTATAAAAAAAATATTTGCGAAACAAAAATGCTTGCTTTAATATAGATAAAAGTAATATTAATGATCCATTTGTGTCAGATTACTGCATACATAATTGAACTGTTTGCTCCCAGGTGACCCAACAACTGCTGAAGGAGTGTCTTTAGATCGTGGAAAGGTAAGAAATGTCAAAATCGTAAAATTGAGGTCAGAATTATAGTAATCTTTCTTTGTTTATATAGCATCTTTCACAGACCAGAGTCACAGAGCATTTGTCTCTCACTCCACACAGAGATGGGAGCAGGGTCGCATAGTGTTTTTTATTTTTATGTATCTGTTTTTCTGGCAATTTGAACAATATTGGATTTATTTCAAATCCTCCTAGTTTTTGTAGTTCCTAGAGTCAATTAATATATCAATTCTGTTTAGTTTACAGTTTCACTTACTGCGTCTGTCATTTGGTACTGTTTTAACCAGGAGAGGTTCACCCATGGAGACTCCATATGACCTAAGAGGTTTATCTGTCCTTCAAAAAGAAAATTTGAGTTTAAAAAGTACAAGTACATACAAGGTTAGCGCAGTTTTATGTACCCTCACTGGTGCTTTGTCTGTAAATGAAGTTCTTCATGTTTTTTTAATTTTTATTTCCAGTTCAATACCCACATTTAAAGCCTCCCTGTGTATAATTTACAGTTGCTCCAAATGAAAAAAAATATGTTAACTAATAACAAATGTGAGCTTTCTAAGAATATTTACCTCCACCATTTTCTTTTTTAAATGGTTGTCATAGACATAGAATTTGAATTATAAATGTCAATGAGAGCTGAGGACTCCATGTCAATGCGCCATCTTGAAAAACATTGGTTGTTAAGGGACAAAATTATGCGAGAATCGCGTTTTCATTTCACAGTGGCTACTAATATTGTTGCTTTCACCCTGCCCTCACAAGTTTGATGAAGGGATCATGGAGGACCACAGTAATGTATGATATCACTCCAATATGTGTTTCCAAATTGCAAACTGACATTTTTATATTATTTGTATCATTATTGGACATAAAGAACTGTGTTCTTTTGGCCCATCAATAAAGTTTGCAATTATCATTTATGCTGCGTGCTGCCATCTCCGCTAGTATTTCACCTTGGCTCTAGATTGCATTCAAACACGCACGCAGGAGCAGCAGGTTTTACAGTGATTCTGAACATCGTTTTTTATTTTATTCATAAAGTCTCGCATCTGGCCAAACCAGCAAAGACCATAAAGACAAACGCATACATGTGATTTGTGTTGCTCTACATCAGTCCTCTGCCCGTACTGTCCTCCACACTCCATAGACTACACAGGGAGAGCATCAGAAGCCGCGGACCTGTGCGCATGGCCAGTGTACATACAGCCAAGTAATGTTATGTGCATTTTTGGCATTTTTTTAGACTTTCAAATCCCATTTCCCGTCATAAAATTTCCCGGGAATCGGGAAATAGTTTTAGATTTCTCGGGAATCCAGTCTCCCGGGATTAAACCCTACTTCTTACCACGATTGTAAAACTATATATTATAATAGATCTATGTTAAATCACCTCTGTGCAGCGCGTGCGGCTTCACAGCGCACACTTTGTTTACATGTCCACCTCCGCGCACGTGTGTCAAGACACATTTGTAGTGCAGTAGTGTATGGGAAGATCCGCTCATTTATCAAACTAAAGGATTCTTTCCTTAGTGGTCTGGTGAATTACCGGGTGTTTTGGACCACTGCCAAACACGACATACCTCTGGCTTCCGTTGTGTTGGTGGTTGAAGGAGACTTGCAATGTATGATCCTAACGCTAGATGAAGGCAAAGATTACACTTTGCACACAGTGTACCTTTTTAAAGAAAAACTTCAAGGCCGATGCTTTAGACAACTGTTAAGCTCTAGAACAGTCAGATAATCATGAAAAATGTTGCATAATGATTGCTTCAAGTAATCTTATGATGAATGACATGTATTAGTGTTTTGACATGGATTATGGATAATTGCAGGTATGTAAATACTTAAGTATATGTTTGTATAATGCCGTATCTTGTGTGAAAATAAGTGACTCTTTTGGTCTGTAAATTTGTCACATTTTGGATAAGATATCCGTTTCTGTTGCTGTTAACTAATAACTGAAGAAATGCGTTTACTAAATATAAAAAGTATCCAAAGGATACATCCCATACTCAAGGCTACCTTTTCAAATAACGTCTGTGGTGACATGTCAAGCTAAATCGACTCTTTCCAAGTTTTTAGCAAATTGTTTTAACATTTTTTTTTGTCTTTCAATCAGCAAGTGGACTGGAGTTGGAATCGTCACGCAGACAAAAAGTTTGAGTTCATGGACCACTCACTCGTGGCAGCTGTGCGATCTGGGAAAGACAAGGAGGCCATGGAGTTCTTCAAGCTGCTGTCACTTTGCCACACAGTCATGGTGGACGGTGAGTTCTCTTCACTACATGGAAGATGGATTCTGTAAAGGCGAAATCACGCAGCTCTTAGTGGTAGAGCGTGTGTTATAAAGCTCGTAGCTGTCATCACAAGGTCTCTGATGCTGGTCCCGGCAGCAATCCCCGAACCCGGTGGTGGACACCGGTAGTAAGGGATGCTGTCAGGCTGTCGTGGGACCTCTGAGGTAGCTCTCCAGTAGTGACAGGCCAAGCGTGCCGCTGCCCAGGCTGATGCAGAAGCAATAATCCGGGACTGGGAGAAGTTCGGAGAGTCCATGGAGCATGACTATCGGTTGGCCTCGAAGAGATTCTGGCAAACTGTCCAGCGCCTCAGGAGGGGGAAGCAGTGCTTTGTCAACACCGTGGGTGGAGAGCTGCTCCGGGGGCAGAGGCTGAGTATGTTTGGGTGGATACTTCCATCTCCCTGGCTGAAGTCACCTAAGTGGTTGGCAGCCTCCTTGGTGGCAAGGCTCCGTTGGACGAATCTTGGAATCAGGAGGAGCAGTGTGGTTTCAGCTCTATACTCTCCATCAGATACTGGAGGGTTCATGGGCGATCGCCCAACCTGTCCACATGTGCTTGTGGAGAAAGCGTTCGACGGGGTGTCCTTTGGGGGGTTCTCCGGGAGTACGGGGTCCGGGGTCCTCTGCTGAGGGCCGTCCGGTCCCTGTATGACCGAAGCCAGAGCTTTCTTCGCATTGCCGGCAGTAAGTCAGACCTGTTCCTGGTGCATGTTGGCCTCCGACAGGGCTGCCCTTTGTCACCGGTTCTGTTCACTGTCTTTATGGACAGAATTTCTAGGCGCAGAGAGGGGCCGAGGGGTGCGGTTCGGAGACCACAGGATTTCATCTCTGCTGTTTGTGGAAAATGTTGTCTTGTTAGTTCCAACAAACCAGGACCTGCAACATGCATGGGGACGGTTTGCAGCTGAGTGTGAAGCGGCTCCAAATTTGAGGCCATGGAGCTCGACCGGAAAAAGATGCACATATTGTGTTCTTTTAAATTGTGAACAAATTGACTCTTCCTCTCATTTATAACTGTGTGTGTTTGTGAATGTGTGCAGAGGACATGGTGTACCAGGCTGCTTCCCCAGACGAGGGCGCTCTGGTGACTGCTGCCCGCAACTTTGGTTATGTGTTCCTTGCCAGAACTCAGGACTCCATCACCATCCAAGAGGGCGATCGCGAGAGCACGTATGAGATGTTAGCCCTGCTGGACTTCAACTCGGACCGCAAACGCATGTCCATTATCTGTAAGAGTTTGCACACAGTCATTGAGCCTTTGTCCTGATCTTGACCCTAGTCTTCCACTCGGGAGTACCTTCTAACCGCTAAAAAGGAAAAAAAAATATTAAGTCTATATGCTGAAACCTTGGATTTCTGATCAAAATAATATATAGACATCTCTGTGAAAGTTATAATCCAATTCATTCACAAGACAAATAAAGATCGACCGAGAGCAATCTCTCCCGATGACGAACGCTGTCAGACACAACATCTTCACTATCTTTGAAGCATAGAAAATTGTAGCATGAACGATGAAGCCACAGACTCAAACCTACAGCTAACGGCTTGCTGCTAAAAGGCGTTTTCACATGCTCTTGCACAGAAGGACCTGAAAGCTGATCCCATCAGAGCAGAGCTCAAGCCTGACACATTGTTGCACAAAGGTGTGGATTTCTGAATAAAGTTCAGGATGACAAGGGACACTAAAATCCCCGTCAGCTGAGGACGAGCCATTTTAGTAGACATTGATGTCTTTGGGGAAAAGCTCATAGATGTGGTCAATAAGGTCCCTTGTTCAAGATGTAAACTGATTTTAAACTCGTAGGGGTTTCAAGTTGAGATCACTCATTACATATTTGTTTGATATTAAAGAATTGGACCAAACTCAATCTTGTAGTAGATGCATTAATTGATATTGGATTTAAATGAATACCTGATAAATTGTGTACATTTTATTCATGTCATATTATTTATGTCAAGAAAAACATGAAGAAAAGGTTGATTGAAGATACAGGGTTAAAAAAATAGTAAGAAAGAGTACGAGGTAAGTAAGTTTTGTGTGTTCAAGGCCCGGCATGGGCCTTTGTCCTTTTGAGTAAGATATTTATGGTGAGAATGAGAGGGCATCTGTGAAATGGACAGTTTGTACAACAAGGTGGATTGGTCCATGGTGTGGTGTTCTGTCCCTGGTCCGGTGTGGGGATGTTCTTGTGCTGGTGCAGTGGTCGTCCAGTTTCTCAGACTTATAGAAGTTAAGAGGTGCTACACTGTCCATTCTGAGCCTCAGGTTAAAGCTGACTCAGAATTATGGACAGTTGTCTATCTTGGACCCCAGAGAGCATGGAGATGCTGTTCTCCCCAGGCAACCTTTTTTGAGCAGTTTCAAAATTGAGTTGTGTAGTTTGGTGTTTCTTCTTGGGCCCCTGTTTTGATTGTGATATATCTTTTATTCAATCCATGCAATTATGGTAATATACAACTTTTCTTACATCATTTATTGTTGAAAGCTCAAGGTAAAAAGCTGAATGTTTTTCTTCAGTGCGCTTCCCTGATGGCCGAATTCGTTTGTACTGTAAAGGAGCAGACACTGTGGTATATGAGCGCCTATCTCCAGAGAGCAGGTACAAGGACAGCACACAGACCGCCCTGGACGTGAGTATTTCCACCTGTCTCTCCACACACGCACACGCCTTTAGTTCTGACTGTGAATACGAAAACACACCATATAGCGAATGAAATGGGGCCAAGAGCTGTGTTCTTAACCAGGTACTCCATAATTTGCACTGCTTGGCGCATCCATCAGGGAGAGCTGAAAGTACTGTAAGTACAGACCAAAACGACATTTGGACACACATTTTTTATTTTCATGATTTATGAAGATTGTAGATTCACACTGAAGGCATCAAAACTATGAATTCACTGTTGAATTATGTACCTACTAAAACAAAGCATGAAACAACTGAAAATATATCTTATATTCTCAGATCTAAAGTTGTCACCTTTTGCTCTGATTACTGCTTCACACACTCTTGGCATTCTCTTGATGAGCTTCAGGAAGTAGTGACGTGAAATGGTCACTACTTCAGTCTTGAAGGAGTTCCCAGAGATGCTTAGCACTTGTTGGTCCTTTCGCCTTCACTCTGTGGTCCAGCTCACCCCAAAACCATCTGGATTGGGTTCAGGTCCGGTGACTGTGGAGGCCAGGTCATCTGGCCCAGCACCCACCACTCTCTTTATTAGTCAAACAGCCCTTACACAGCCTGGGTGTGAATCTACAGTCAATAGTCAAGAAAAGAAAGGAATCTCATTGAATGAGAAAGTGTGTCCAATTGTGATGCCTAAAATTAAAACTCAATCCGGCCCGCCCAACCCAGAGAAGTGAGCATTGATTTCTCAACCCAGCCCACCCCGAACCCGCAGACATTAAAACTACTGTTTTATTGTCAAAATCAAAGGACAACTCTTTTTCAGATAAAACAACATAAAATGTTTAATTCACTGAATAAATAAAGGTCAATTTACAGAACAGATTTGGACATTTTTAACATTTCCTTTAAAGATGATATTTCTATGGATTCGGAACAAATAACTGTTAATGTCAGGCTTGTTATTGAAAATGTATTTTTCTCACTGGAAGCGCTTGTGGCCGGGATGCGTAAAACAGCTTTTGCCACAAGTGATAAACCAGGCTAATCACGCTGGTGATCTTTGATCTTGAAACTATTGGTAATATAACGCTGAACGTCATCATCTGCCTCAAACAGCTCCTCTGTGTGTCTTCCCACTCAGCAAAAAGCCGACACCTTTTCTTTGGCATCCCTAACATTTATAATACATGCATAAATATAACAATCATAATGAAGATGCTTTCAAATAATTTAGCAAGCTGTAAACTATTTATTTTATAACTCCACACGGCTCCTCCCCTGTCAAACTTCTCTCGCTGCTCTCCATCTCCTCCGCAAACCACTAAATAATGAGGAAAAGGGAATATTCACTATATACCATACCATACCATACCATATTAATATAACGCCTGTAGCCCGCGTAACGCCTGTAGCCCGCGTAACGCCTGTAGCCCGCGTAACGCCTGTAGCCCGCGTAATTATGCACCTGGTTTAGAAGGCCTCTGCTGCGATGCCCGCACCGTCATCAGTCTACACGCCTCTGTGTGGATTACACGTCTTTCATTAAGGTGGAGCATTTTAAGGCTTTTAAAGCGGGGAGTCAGGAAGGTGGCGATCTTACGGGTGCTTGTCACGATGAAATATTTGTTTAACAGCCTCCCTGCGCGATTGCAAATGTACTCAAGGGACTCCCACACCGTGGCTCAGATATATATATTATACATAGGCCGATCAAGAGCTTTTTGACCCGGCCCACCCGCACTCAACATGACTCATATTTTTGAGGCATCAAACCCGCCCGAAACCGCAGGACCCGCCCATCACTAGTGTCCAAACTTTTGGTCTGTACTGTATATGCACACCTTATATATGTATGTATTGTATGAGGTTTTTTAATATATATTTTAATTATCATGAACACCACTGTTTTCAATGTTATGTTTATACATGTATGCAAATGTCCTTTTACTTGTGTGTTCCAGATATTTGCTAATGAGACCCTCCGCACACTCTGTCTGTGCTACAAAGATATCAGTAATCAGGAGTACGACTCATGGGCACGCAGGCACAAGGAGGCTCAGCTGGTGTTAGCTGACCGAGAGACAGCAGTGGACCGCGTCTATGAGGAGATCGAGAACGGCCTCATGGTACAGGCCTCAACCAAGCACCTGCTCACAAACTATGATGGCCTTTAGATTGCACGTCTCACTTTGTCATCTCTTAAAAAATTTTATGAAATGTTTTATGTGCTGTTCGAGCCTATCCTTGAAATTATGCCTGGGACTTTTGTAAACAGTGCATCATGTCTCTTAGTCTTTTGCCTTCTAAACCTTAAACATAAAGTGTAGATAAGCTAGTACTGCTTAATTACCTGACATGTTTCAATGGTGGGCTTCTGTCTACGTCAAAGGTGATGGTGGGACATCTCTTATCGGCTATTGTTAAAGCTGCACTAACTGACTTTATTTTTGTATTCATTACGAAAATGCTATCCATGTCCGTGTAGGGCATTGGGATATACGTCCTTTTGACGAAAAAGTAGCGCAGATTTGTGCTGGCGTGACATTATATTTTAGATCGAGTTTTGATGAAACAAGGAAGAGAATGTGTTTCGGGTCGCAGATTGTGACCAATCACCGCGGACCACTGGCCCCCACTTTTGTGAGAAATCTACAGGTCTCCGTTAGCATAGACAGCTGAGTTAGCACAACAAGACGAGGAGCTAACCTGAAGCTTCGTGTCTTAGTCACCGGTTACTGCTTACACAGCGAGACAGCCATCCAAAAGAAAGTCTCGTTCCTCCGCGCTTCCCGGTTCTATCGTTCTATGGTCACGCCATCCACGTGAATTGCCATGTCCATGTATTTATCCATATTGGGAGACGCTAGCTCCGTCCCAACAGTGGGTGTGTGTGGGGGGCGATAGCTTCGTGGGTGCGGGGAGGGGAGCAGAAAGAGCGAGGCCAGCGAGTCTGCTGCTTCAAAATCCCAAAGTCAGTTAGTGCAGCTTTAACGTATGTGGTCAGTTTGACAAATCGGGCAGATCCGTCAGACTTACCACGCCCCCCACCAGTCTTAAAGCTGCACTAACTGACTTTATTTTCGTATTCATTACGAAAATGCTATCCATGTCCATGTAGTGCATTGGGATATACGTCCTTTTGAAGAATAATTAGCGCAGATTTGTGCTGGCGTGACATTATATTTTAGATTGAGTTTTGATGAAACAAGGAAGAGAATGTGTTTCGGGTCGCAGATTGTGACCAATCACAACGGACCACTGGCCCCCACTTTCGTGAGAAATATACAGGTCTGTTAGCATAGACGGCTGAGTTAGCACAACAAGCCGAGGAGCTAACCTGAAGCTTCGTGTCTTCATCACCGGTTACTGCTTACTTAGCGAAACAGCCATCCAAAAGAAAGTCCCATTCCTCCGCGCTTCCCGGTTCTATCGTTTTATGGTCACGCCATCCACGTGCAAATCCATATTCATGTATTATCCATATTGGGAGACACTAGCTCCGTCCCAACAGTGAGTGTGTGTGGGGGGCGATAGCTTCGTGGGTGCGGGGAGGGGAGCAGAAAGAGAGAGGCCAGCGAGTCCACGGCTTCAAAATCCCAAAGTCAGTTAGTGCAGCTTTAAGTGGGAGCCACGGGAAAAGTCTCCTTGTCTCTGTTGATGGTCCGTGCGCTTTGCTTCTTGATTTCCATCACCTCTCTTATCCATCTGTTGAATTTATGTTCTTTCGTTCCTATTAGTCAGATATTGCTTGGTTCATTGCTTTTTTCCGGTTGTATCCTGTCCCTAGGGTGTACTAGGATTTGTCAGAGCTTTTTGTGTATGGGTTTTCTGTTCTGAGGTCAAGAGTAGATATTGATCCATGTGTTGGTTTTCTGTATACTGAAGTCTTGATGCTTCTCTGCTGTTGGTGAATGTTTAGGTCCAGAAATGGTACGCACCCCTCATTTTCCTCCTCAAATATGTAGTTTATTTTATAGCCCACACTCCCACCCTGACTGTTCTTAATTTGATTGCCTGTTATTGAACATTGTTGTATATTTTATACATGGAACCAAGGACCTCAGATGGGTGTTTTAGCTTTAATCTGTAATACAAAAACCAGACAGAGGATAGACTGTAATTGTAACAACAGCTACAGTTGTGGTAAAAAAGTCACAAACCATGTAAATAATTATAACAAACATGTTTGCAGTTAATTGGGGCCACAGCGATTGAGGACAAACTTCAGGATGGAGTCCCAGAGACCATTGCTAAACTGGCCAAAGCTGACATCAGGATCTGGGTCCTCACTGGAGACAAGAAAGGTACTGCTCCGGTACACAGGGAACTGAAGCTGTCTGCTTTCAGAGGCTTTCCCTGGCCTCTCCAATTGGTATTAGATGCTACACATTCTTCAAATGTGTCTGTTTTGAGCCTGTTACATTGTTCCCGTTTTGAAAATGGGCTTGAGGATGATTTTAGTTCCATCCACACATCACAATCTTCTTGCACAAACTTGTCCCCTTCTGTCCAAATGCTCCGCTTTCAGATCTTGACTTAGGTATTTGTGATTGACATAACAATTATGTTGAGTTTAATCTAATTGGACATAAATTACAAATTTGAATTCATATGATGCTTGTTTTTGAAGAGCTCTTTCCTGTTCTTTTTCTATTGCGTTTCAGAAACGGCTGAAAATATCGGCTACTCGTGCTCCCTGCTCACAGATGACATGCAGATTCATTATGGAGAGGATGTCAAGTCAGTTTTCCTCCGCACTCATTCTGTCCTATCCTTTGGCTTGTACCCAAATCATCTGTTCTGTATGTTTGCAGTGTGAAGCTGAGCGCACGACAGAACACCAGGCGGAACGAGCCCATAAGCAATCGCCCCAGAAAGAAGAAGCCAGCAGAACCCTTCTTTAGCGAGCCGGGAAAGAATGCTCTGATCATCACCGGTGGATGGCTGGTGAGCAAGCTGCTGGCTGGCCTTTCAGCAGACACATGATCGTTTTGAGGGATTTTAACATTAGAGGGACTTGCAAAATGGACTGATCACAACCTATGACTGTGCTGTAGTGGTTTTCTCTTTTCATATATACTCTCAACGTAGTTTTAGAACAATTCACGCATGTTTGGGACATTTATATTGCTTGCGCACTTACCCCAAAAACATTAACCCTGAGTGACTGTCAAAGGACGGTGCATAGTAATGAAGGATTCCTTGAACACAAGCACAGTATGAGTGATAATACTAAAATGTCACACGTTAATTACCACAATGGTTCATTGTTATTGTAGGACCTGAAATGGAAAAAAGAAAATTACAAATATCAAATAAATTACAAAAACAAAGTACTCAGGATAGCATGAGAACCACGACAAATAATGTGTTGGCCGTTGTCCTTCTGAGATTTGTGATCATATCATGTCACAAATCTCTTTCCATAGCACTTGTGTATAATTTATCTTTATAATTCTTGAGTTAGTGTAATATTCTTTCCTACTTGCTCTCATTTGTTGGTATTTTTGTATATTATAATGTATGTAATGTATTTTTAGATAATTGTTGAAAGGCCCTTTTCTTATCAGGGGGGGAAAGGAAAGAGCCTTTACTTGTGGAGACTTGTATTTTGCACTTTTTAGTAAGAGTAATGTTTGTCATATACAATACAATACAATTTATTCTTGTATAGCCCTAGGTCACAACAGAAGTCATCTCAGAGGACTTAACAAATCCATTGAATTCACCAACACAGATCAGAGAATCAACAGTTAAAACACATGAAAAATATAAAGCACACATAGAAGAAAATGTCCATACATGTTGTAGAATGCTAAAGTGTCCTGATCATCACCAATCCTTTCTGTTGGACACTAACTGTCCAACAAGACCCTCCTGCATCGACAAGGAAAAACTCTTAAAAAACCCAGTGGGAAAAAGTGAGAAACCTTGGGGAGAACTAGGGAAACCCACAGGGAGGGAGACCCATATGAGAAAGAGATCTGCTCCTCCGGACTGACAGGCTAATGATCTAGGACCTAAGCTAGCTACAGAACGTGGACCAGTGGCCGCTGAACGTGGACAGGTCCGGTGTGCTTCAGCTATAAGTGAAGTGAAGAAACAAGTTGTAAGCTGAATTTTTATATCGGCCATGCATACTTTTAGACCTCTCTGTATTTAATCAACAGAATGAAATTCTTTATGAAAAAAAGAAGAAGCGTAGACGTCTGCGACTGCGTCGTCTGGGCAAACGGCCCCCTCCCTCCAGCCCACAGGACGGCCAGCCCCTGGACGAATGGGAGAAGGAGCAGAGACAGGTGTGCCACAACACTACTATATTGTATGTGTGTATCAGAGACATCGCAGTACCCATAGTGAGCCTTGTGGGATTTGTGATCAGTCCTGGTCCAGCTGAAGTGGAGTTGATGACTGTATTGTCTTTTATTCCAAGAATACATGTTTTTGGGCCAGATGGTCAAAAAGAGGCGATATCTATTTAAAATGGTTCCCTCACATAAGAATTCCCGAAGAATAATTAATTATAGTTGGTTAATTGTTATTTGGGAAAGCTCACCTGTTATCCAAAGGTATACATTTTGAAAGGGAGGGTGTTGCATGGGCGGGTCAAACCGCTGACTGCATTCAACATTCTCATCAAATTTGAAGTTTAAACTCAAGTAAATGTGGGGTTGCATGCCTTTCAGATCGACTTTGTAGACATGGCGTGCGAGTGTGAGGCTGTCATCTGCTGCCGTGTCACTCCAAAACAAAAGGCCAACGTGGTCAGTCTGGTGAAGAAGTACAAGAAAGCGGTGACCCTGTCCATCGGAGACGGAGCCAACGACGTCAACATGATCAAAAGTACCAGAGCTACTCACTATCTTGAACTCTTATCAGTGACAGGCCAAGCTCTGAACTAGTAAAATATGGTTTGAACAAGCCTTTGATCCTTATTTCATACACAAACAAAATCTCAGTCTACAATACAAATACAAATACTAATATGTATTGAGTAGCATTAAAACTTCTGAAAGGTACATTTTGAAGCACAAGGAAGTATTTGTTGAATTTGGATGCAGCCTATTGCACACTCTGCTACCATGTTGTTCCAGATTTGAATAGTTATTTTTGCATTCAAATTTCTGTTTTTCTTTGCGTTGAATATATTTTTTAATTTAGAATATTTGTTGACGGCCCTTTTACAGTGTACATGGAATATCACAGGGTTATCAAATATAACCTTTTGAATGTGGTATTTTTCATGCTCCTCTGACCATGGTCTTTATTTTTACCCACATAGTTTTTCTTTTTTATTTTCTGAAAATTAGCTTGTGTAAAACAATGGTATTTTTGCTTGAAGAGAAAAACATAGCGGATTGCTAACTTGAACTACGGTGGAGCGAGCCTTTGTTTGTGCTGACTTTCAGTAAAGGAGCAGAGCTATACAGTGAGACTGAAATAAAGAAGTGTATAGGATTGTTTTGACTCAATATTGAGATTCTAAATGTATCATAATTACCCTATTGTGTCATAGATTGTTACTATAGAAATCTTATTTAATCATCTGGAGTTTCCAGGATGAGTTTTGTAGACAATCTTGATGGTAGCTTGTGTCCACAGCGGCAGACATCGGCGTTGGCATCAGTGGGCAGGAAGGCATGCAGGCGGTCATGTCCAGCGACTACGCCTTCGCCCAGTTCCGCTACTTGCAGCGTCTCCTCTTGGTGCACGGCCGCTGGTCCTACATCCGCATGTGCAAGTTCCTGCGCTTCTTCTTCTTCAAGAACTTTGCCTTCACCCTGGTCCACTTCTGGTACTCTTTCTTCAGTGGCTACTCCTCACAGGTCAGTGACTTGGATTGATTGATCAAAATGCATGTAAACTTACAAAGATAAGATAAACTTTATTGATCTCACTCTGGAAAAATGCACATGTAACATTTGGCATAGATGAAATCACTCAGATTGTGCAAAAACACAGAAGTGTGCAACATGTTAAGGTTAAAAATATAGTTGGTGCAGGCCCTGCGGTGGCGCTCCTTCTTGCACTGAGGGTGCCTCAGTCTTCCACTGAAGGAGCTCCTCAGCTCCTCTACAGTCCTGTGCAGTGGGTGGGAGGTGTTGTCCATAATGGAGGTGACCTTGACTAGCACCCTCCTGTCCCTCACCTCCTCCACAGAGTCCAGGGGGCAGCCCAGAGTGGAGCTGGCCCTCCTGACCAGCTTGTTCAGTCTGCTCCTGTCCCGCTCTGTGCTGCCCGGGGCCCAGCACACGGCAGCGTAGTGTATGGCAGAAGAGTGGCTACCAGAGTCATAAAAGGTCCTGAGCAGAGGGGAATGGTTGGTGGTGGTCAGACGGGCCGATGGCACATACTGGTTGCCTCGCCTCTGTCAGTGTGCCCCAGGGCAGCTGTGGCTACAGTAGTAGTTTATCACCACCGTGTATGGAGTGAAAGAATGACATGTAAAGCGTCTTTGAGTGTCCACAGAAGCGCCATATAAAACCGATGCATTATTATTATTGAAGTTGATTACCATCAGTCGTCAAAGTCTGTGATAACCGACCGGTATTCCAATTTGTTCCCCTCAGACACACAGCCCACGATGGCTGAGTCGTCTGAGAACTTCTGCAGGTGGCAGCTGTGTGTGTCGTAAGAGTAAAGATTAAAGAGTTTTAGACCGTGCCCTAAACAAGACTAAATTCATGTGGGCTACCCAGAAATTTTACCCATAGAACTAAACAGCTTGACCTCAGCTGACCTGAACCCTGAACCTACAGCTTTCATAAAGGTCAGGTTTTGTGGGTATTTTAGTGTCCCTTGTCGTCCTGAACTTGTTTTCTTCTTAAATACTTAGGTTTTCTATAAATTCACACTTTATTGCAAAAAACTCTGCTTGATTGTCCCCTGCTCTAGCTCTGTTCCGCTGATCAGTAGCGTCTACTGGTCAGTAGCGCCTGATCAGTCAGGTACTACTGCTGTGCTACTTGCTGTGCTCTTCTGTACATGTGCAGGAGAGCCACACACATGTGTTTGGTGCAAATCATCTTGGGATCTCGTCCACTGGGCAGAACCGGGAAGACCAGAGATACCACCAGTGATTTTAGATTTGTTAGGCAGATTAATCGCGTTTTAAAATCAAGCTTTTATCATTTGCGACTTTTATCTAAGGTTAAACCTTTTTTTATCTTTTAATCTTTTTGAGCCGGTCATGCACGCTTTTTATTTCGTCACGCCTGGACTATTGCAATGCACTTTATGCGGGCATCCCCCAAAACGCACTTTCCCATCTGCAGTTGGTCCAAAACTCAGCGGCACGACTTTTAACAGGAAGCAGAAGCCGTGATCACATCACACCAATTCTGGCATCGTTGCACATCGTTGCACATCGTTGCACATCGTTTGTTTTTAAAGCTTTGAATGGACTGGCCCCTCCTTACATCTCGGACCTCATCCAAATTTACCATTCGCCCTGCGCGCTTGAGGTCCAAGTCAGCGCCAGCTTGTGGTACCTAGGACGAGACTTAAAACCCGGGGGGGACAGGGCCTTCTCTGTGGCTGGACCAAAGCTGTGGAACGCTCTGCCCCCCCACATTCAAACTGCTCCTTCTGTCTTAAGACCCATTTTTATGCTCTGGCTTTTATCACTGCGTGAGTTGTATGGTCCTTTTATTTTCATTTTATTTAATCTTTTTATTATTTTTATATTCATAAATATTTGCACACACGGTTTTCATATTTGATTTTGTATTTTACTGTTTTACTATGTTTTTAATTTTATTGTGCAGCACTTTGGAAAACTGTGTTTATGAAATGCGCTATATAAATAAAGTGGATTGGATACCCAATTGTGGGCGAGTTCCGCAAATCTTTCAGCCCCATGGTGACACATGGATCATCGGGGCTTGGTTATACTACCTCTAAGTCATGTTTATAAAAGTTCATTCAACAATGAAAAGGCATCACAAATCTAATCCCAATTTTTTTGTCATTAAAATGTCTAGTACTGTATGTGGCAAGATTTGGAACAGGTTTGGGAACTTGCAGCTGGGCTGTACCAAAAAATCACATGCTTTCACTTATTAACAAATGTAAATTTGTGTAAGCCCTCAGTCGTACAAGGATTAGTCAAGGCAAAGGAAGGTTTCTCACCCATCATCTGTACTTCTTAGCAAGTTTTCCCGACGTTTCGTCCTCAATCCAAAGGACTTCTTCAGGGAATGAATTCTCAGACCGCGCGTTGGAGATTTACAACCTATGGGTGTGGTTAGCCACACCCTAATCCTGATACTAACTCATAAACAATCTCCCAAGTTAGGGCGTTGTTTTTAAGGTGTCGTCATAGATGCGAGGCAAAACAAACCCTCCTCCTCTGTTAAGAGAAGGTTTTTGTTTCCTCACAAAAATGGCTTCTTTTAAGGTCAGTGACATGCTAATGAGTTAGAGTCGTTAGCCTCAGCAGGGTCGTTAGACCTGCTCTCTTCTACATCAAACAGACCTTAGATTGTTTATGAGTTAGTATCAGGATTAGGGTGTGGCTTACCACACCCATAGGTTATAAATCTCCAACGCGTGGTCTGAGAATTCATTCCCTGAAGAAGTCCTTTGGATTGAGGACGAAACGTCCTCAAGTACAGATGATGGGTGAGAAACCTTCCTTTGCTTTAAATGTAAAGTAAAATTAAAGGCGCAAGCGGCGTCGAACGTCCCTCACTGCACCGCTCAAAGGAGGTGGCGCCGCAACGCCATGATTAGAGCCCGTAGACAGAGAAAAATGTGTGTAAATTTTTACTGAATAAGATCAGTTGGTTTGGGTCCCCATGTGAAAATGTGGCTCAGTCTGTAAGGGGCGCTAAAGAGCCAATTTAATATTTCACACCTTCAGGTGACCCAGGCCCAAGAGTTAAACAACCGACCATGTGACTAATCCAAATTTTACAAACAAGTAGAGCAATTGTGGAGCAATTTTCAGCCAAATCGGTGAAACTGCCGAGGCTGGTTTGATGTTCGTGCGAGGTGTACATTTGCCATTGACACAGAGTGGGGAGTGTTTGACGTCACCACGGCAACAGGGTAAAAAATATGTGTGTGTCATTGACTTTTTGAATTAAGAGGGCAAAACAGAATTATGAAAACTAAACGTGATTATCCCCATGTAAAACTTTGACATAGTCTGTAGGGGCCGCAAATGGGCCAATTTTAATTTTTTCACTTTCAAATGATCTAGACCAGTGTCTCCCAAAGTGGGGTCCGCGGCCCCCTGGTGGGCCGCGAGGGTACTGCAGGGGGGCCGCGGGAGGACATAAAAAAAATAAAAATGATAATATAATTATTTAATGTTAAATTTATAATGTTTTGTTTGTAATATTAAAATATTTGTGTTCATTATTTGACTTGAATAATCCACTGTAATCATTTTTGTATTACAATGTTTGTAGCAGAGGCTATTTCCCCAAAATAAAATAACCAGAAAGGCCTATTCTTAATGTTGTCTTCTTGGTTATTATTTTGGGGGGCCACGCAGACCCGTCAGATTTTTAAGGGGGCCTCGGTGTTACTGAGTTTGGGAATGGCTGATCTAGACCTTAAAGTTGAACAATGCATTAAAATTGTGTGCAAATCAGACTTTGTATATGCAAACGGGAGCAAATTAGCATTTTTGTCATGTCTTGACTTGAACATGTATACCTAATATTGTGGTTCTACGTAAAACTTGACCTTGGCCCCACTGCCATAGGCGCAATGTAAACTGACGTTTGTAGGGTGCACTGTTCTGGCATTCTTTTAGTCCCATAAAAATAAACAAAAAAAAGGTAATTTTCTGCTGGTTTTGAATTTTTCATGCTTGTTCAGGGGGTCAAATTAAGGTTCAAAGTGCAGAAGAATTTTCCAAAAGTCTCCGAGCAAAAACAATATAGGTTTCAATGACACATGATACATAATTTTAAAGTGTTTGAGTTTACGCACGCAACCATCGTGTTTTGGTGAGTGACGGGCGCTGACGCGTCCGTCACCCCTGACACCCCTTGCATTCACTATTGGCCCCAGTCGGGGCTCGGGCCTAATTACACATCCTGTAATCTTATCAGCAAAAGTGATAAGATTACAAGGATTTGGACCAAATTAATTAATTTGATCAACACGGCATCATTATTGTGTGTGTTTGTATTTTTGTTTGCAGGTGGCTTATGAGGACTGGTTTATCACTCTGTACAACCTGTGCTACAGCAGCTTACCTGTTCTCCTGGTGGGCCTTTTGGACCAGGTCTGAACCTTTTCTCCACATTCAACATTCAGTCAATTCTAAGCTATACTGTAAGGCTGGGAATCATACTGTAGATGCTCAACATTTATTATACATGATTCACTGGCCTTGAAAGTACTATAGCCGCTCGAGACCGCGGGACCATGGTAGCGGGTCTGAGTCATGAGCTGAAATACTGCCATGACCGTGACCTCATTCCACGTATGTATTCTCTATGTACATTCCAAACAGTTTGTCCGGTTTCCTGCACTATACAAGTGTTACTTAATAACATGATACAAAATGTTATCAGAGACTTGTTAAAACAAAAGAGACGTCTCTATAACAATCGCTCAACACTGTATGGCTTCTGAATTTGACAGATATTAGAGATATTTAGACCTAATTTCTATTTTTAGACTAGATTAACATGTGATTTGCCCTCTTCCTTTCTTGATAGGACGTGAATGATAAGTTGAGTCTGCGCTTTCCCAAACTCTATCTGCCGGGCCAGCAGGGATCGCTCTTCAACTACAAGAACTTCTTCATCAGCCTGTTTCACGGCATCTTTGTGTCCCTGATCATCTTCTTCATTCCTTACGGGTCCTTCCTGCAGACCATGGGCCAGGACGGAGAGGCACCCTCCGACTACCAGTCCTTTGCTGTGGTCACCGCCTCCTCCCTCATCTTCATCGTCAACTTGCAGGTCAGTCCCACAGGGAACTGCTTTATTCACCAACACTGTGGCTCATTCACAAATGTACTGCGATGCCTCTGTATTGTGCTCATGCTTTTTACTAACAGTTTGTTTGGTCTTAAGGGGACCTTAAGACACACTTTTATGTAGTGATTGTGTATGCGGGTTACACGTGCCTTTATATCTATTTTTCACTTGCTTACTTGTTTGCACCATATTTCTTGTTTTTTACTCCTTGTTACATAAAGTGACAGTAAAAAGGATTCTGATTTTAATAAACAATTCTATTAAAAGGGCACTAACGTTATTAAAAACTATTTTTTTTCTGATAAAACACATTAAAAACATGTATTTCCCACCTTTGCAATGTGTTTTTGTGTTATAGATAAGTAATAAATCAGTAAAATAACCTTTTAGTATCAACGCCTCTGATTGGCCAGTAAAATGATGACGTACTTGTAGGGGTCGCAGCTCTCGCCTCACTGTTTACGGCATTGCTCCTGCTGCCGCTTTGGCACATATAAACCTTAAAATGGGTGTATTTTGTATGGCCCCGGGATGCAGCAATGAAAGTAACCAAAAGAAGAGTGTAAACAGCAGTCCCTACGATCTTTGACTTATTCAGAGAAGGTCACGGTCCAAACAAACTGAGAGAAGCCAGTCGATGAAATTAGTTCTATCAAGCTCCAACTAAAACCAATTTTACGAGTTTCAACCCAGTATTCAGCAGAAAACACAACAACTGTCATTGAACCATGAATCCATGTTTCACTCTAACTACGTTTAGTAAAATATATAGATATGACACATACCATCATGTTTTAGACTTTAGAGCCACAGACACATGTTCAGAATAAGACCATAACGCTACATGTTTGCATTTGATGGAAGACACTCACCATTTCTCTCACACTCAACATCTGGAGCTGGGACACAGAGTTGAGGCTTCTGAGTTGCGGGTATTGACGTGTTAGCTGATGTTTGCTTGTTAACCGATGTCCGTAAAAATAGCGTCAATCCATCTTGTCAAACCACCTCCAGACTTTTTTTTTTTTTTTTTTTTTTTTTTTTTTACAACTTAGTGTTTTAAACTTTGTGTTTAAAAACGTTGTGCCCGAAGGCTTTGACGGCTGGGTAATTAAAACATATCAAAGATCTGCCTTTCTTCTACGTCCCATAGTTTGTTTAAAAGAGTCCAGAGTAGGACAGCCCCACAGTCTTGGAATTGTGTTTAGTAATTTAGTAGCAAATAAAATGGGAGAGCGGTCCAGTGCCCGACTTGTTGGGTGCTCTATGCCCACATGGATCAGTGTTTTGTTCCGTGTTTGGATTTGGGTTCTTTTGATAATTGGACACTGGGATTGGAGAGCCTTTGGGAGTAGTCCATGCAGCAGTTCTGTCGCTTTTACGGTTGGGATCTTTCATTTCACGGTAGTCACTTTTACGCTTCTAAACTTTTCTCTGCATTACGATGTCCCTGATGTATTCCTTCGTCCCGATACCTTCACTAACACTTACCTATTTACACTCACTCGGGTGCACCATCGAGCTCAAACTGACCGCATCCGCAAACCGGGTCGAGACGTGTCGGACCCGGTCGGACCATAGATCCATACTCCAGCCCGTGGAAACGGCCCTAATGTCCGCAAATGTCCATTTCTTGCAGATTGCTCCTCATCTGAACCGAGTCAGAGTCCTCAAAATCATAATGACTGTCATAACAAGTACGCAAGGGCTCATAAATAAAAGCCCCTGACTTGTATTGTCCATCACTGAATGACAAATATCTGTTTAAAACGTCCGTATACAACGTTATGGCTTTCCATTGCATATCAACAAAGCCCGATGACTCCTATGTGTACGTCACTTCCGGTCTCGGCAAATTTTTTTTTTTGTAAGCAACACATCATCATCAGGATAAAAGGCTTTTTATGCACACGTAAAGGTGCTTCAGTTAGGCTTAGTTAATTGCCAGGGCAAAAAATATATTAGAGTTCAAACAAAAACTGCACTCCTTAGCTTTTCCATAGTTTTGGCGTAATGACGGAGAAGGCTCTGTCTCCTCTAAACAGTCTGAGGTCTTCTAGAGCGAGGCACAGTGAAGACTTTCTGGTCAGAGTTCTGCAGGGTATGTGGAGGTGGAGGGCCAAGTAAGGCAGAGCTAGGTTCCTCAGCTCAAGCTCAAGTAGAGACCAATGTGTGTCCAAGCAAGCCGCATGTCTTCTTGACCACTGTGTGTTTTCAGATCTCTCTAGACACTTCCTACTGGACCTTTGTCAACTGCTTCGCTGTGTTGGGAAGCATCGCCATCTACTTCGGCATCATGTTTGATATCCACAGTGCGGGCATCCACGTCATCTTTCCTGCGTACTTCACGTTCACCGGTCAGTTCCACACTTAAAGTCCAGTACACTGTAGCCTTATCAGCTGTCAAGGAGAAGAGACTTTCAAACTGCACTTGTAATGCAGCAGAAGTTTATTCATGAACCAGTTCCAACATGATGGTTAGGTTCTGCAGTGCACCACATTTCACTCTTACACGATCAGCAACCAATTTAATGATCCATCCATCCATTTTCTTCCCTTTTCCTATTTCTTCCCCCTGGCAGGCAATCAGCTGCCACCCAATTCACGAAGCACCAGCCAATATAATGATAATTTGCTATTTTGTCAAGCACTCAAGACTGAACATTAGAAACTGGGAAAACAATGTATTTGAAATGTAGCCTCATGTGCTTTGGGAACAAACGTTGTGGTCTTTGAATAAAATATCCAAATCAAATGGTTGTGGTCGTAACATGACAAAATGTACTAGATCTTCAAGCTGAATAATTTCACAACCTAGCGTTAGTCTTTTTGTATGGAATTTTCTGACCAGATGTACGGTTTCTCTGCTGTGTTCAGGCGCTGCCTCTAACGCCCTGCGGCAGCCGTACCTGTGGCTGACCATTGTGCTGACCGTGGGCATGAGCCTGCTGCCAGTCATCTGCATCCAGTTCCTCTACAAGACCATCTGGCCCTCTGTCGGCGACAAGGTGTGTGTGCGTGTGCGTGCGTGTGTGTGTGTGTGTGTGTGTGTGTGTGTGTGTGTGTGATCACAGAGGGAATAAAGACTGATCTTATGTGCTGCTCAGGTGCAAAGGAACAAGAAGAAGTACGAACAGGAGCTGGAGCGTGAGGAAAGGGAGAGGGCCCCTGCCTTCCAGAGGGGCCGGCGCTCCCGCAGATCTGCCTACGCCTTCTCCCACTCCCGTGGCTATGCTGACCTCATCTCCTCCGGTCGCAGCATCCGCCGGAGGGCCACAGGGAGAGCCAGCACCCTGCAGCACAGCATCCAAGAGGTGCCCCAAGCAGAGAACATCTGACTCACAGGTTTGGGACAACTGCCTCTAATCACATCCATGTATTATTGTGCTATTCAATAGGAGTTTAACGATGCAACCATTGACTATGTAACGCAATGCCCAAATGTATTTCATGGCACCCTTCACGATTCATATTCCATATTTCCATATATCTGCGCAGTAGAAAACCTTTGTTAAAACACTCTTCAATGTCAAACAGTCAAGGGTGTCATATCACTCGTCTGTCATCTACTCTTGGGCTTATGGCTCCCTCAACACTGCGGCGAAGGCAACAGCTCAGAAGCATGTTCCTCCACAAAAACTCTCCAGTTGTGCTTGAGGGAGACGGACAGACGGCCGCATGGATTCGGACAGATGGCAATACAAAGATGAATCTGACAAAACTTTTTGACTCAGCTGCCGTAAGTGACATAAGCACAGGCATATATGAGGTGTAATATGAGAGCCTTTGTGAAATCAAAAAAGAATAATTATATTGACGTATTTGCTCAATATAAATATTGACAGTCATGAGTCTATGGGGTCTGGGCAAGCCCTGGTGATCCAAGACGGCGCCCTATTCAAATGAATGGCTTGTGCTCAGTGGTGCATTGGAAACACACTGGGGCCGAAAGATTAGTTTGACTTGCCCATATTTGGGCATCATCTGGTCCTCCTGGTTCTGTGCAATGAACGAGCTCCCATGATGCTTTGCGGCTATCATGCACGTGCCCAGAGGGGCTTGGCTCTGTGACTAATCAGACGCTGCTGATCAGAGCAGAGATAGAGCAGAGCTAGAGCGGAGTTACAGCGGGAGCCAACTGAGCAGAGTTTGTAGCCCTAAAGTGTGGGGTTAAAGAAAACTAAATGATTTAAAGCCACCCTGTGTAATTTGTACAGCTGCTCCATATGAAAAAACATGTTAAAGGCACGCCGTGTAACTCTTGGCCACTAGGGGCGCTAGACCTGCAACTTTCATGTTTAGCGCCCCTAGTGGCCACAAGCAACTCAGCACTGTCGCAAAAGTCAACAAACAGTCAGCCGGTGTCTTTTGAGTGTGTATTCAGACAGCATGCACTGGTGTGTGTGTTCAAACTGTAGAGACATGCCTACAGATATTGAGAGACTCTGCTGTGGTCAGCCTCCAGACCGCTGCATTAGTAATCTACCACACATGGACTTCTATATCCTGGATGAGGGAGTTCTGCGTCTAGCTCGTGCTGCGTGGAATGACATCTTTGCGGTCGATGACATCCAGGAACCAGGTGAAGAGCAGCGCTCATACAGACATGCAGCTTACAGCACGATCCCTTTCGCGTTTCCTCTTTTTAGCCTCCTCCGAAGGTTTAAAATTTTTCCTTGCCTCAGCCATGACCAGGAGTCGAGCAGGTGAAAAATGAGTAGCAAAAGCCTTAGCTCCATGAGTATATCAGCGCCTGTAGCCGTAAAGCAAGTCTTTCTTCCAAGTCACGTGACCTGGTGGCAGACGGTCCGTCTGCTCGAAACTTACATGGGCGGTATTTCAAGAGGGCAGCCCCGCTCGGAGCATTGCAAGTGTCAAGCGCTGTATATTGGCCCAAGTATTCATATAAAATAACTCATATGTGTCAACTCTTTAGGTCACAAAGTCCGCGGTGTGCCTTTAACTAAAAACAAACTTTTTAAGAATATTTACCTCCACCATGTTTTTTTAATTGTATTCAGAAGGCTTAGAATTTAACTTAAAAGTGTCCATGAGAGAGGAGTGCTCTCAGTGTAAATGCGCCATCTTGAAAAACAGTGATGGATAAGGGACAAAAAGGATGCGAGAATCGTGTTTTCGTTTCACATGAGCTACTGATATTGTTGCTTTCACTGTGCCTTCACAAGTTGGAAGAAGGAACCATGGAGGACCACAGTTATGTAAAAGAACCATGAACCACAGTTATATAAAAGAACCATGAAGGACCACAGTTATGTAAAAGAACGATCCAAACAGCAATCTTTTAGAAAGATAATCATGCAGAAGTCCAGCGTGATGCAGATACGGCGCTACATGAGCTTTTAGCTCTGTATATATCCTGCTTCTTTGATCTTCGTAGTTTTAAGCTCCCACAGACGTTATTCCTCCATGTGTCTCTTCTCTTCACGCTGCGTTTGTAAAACTATATATTATAATAGATCCATGGTAAAACTCAGTAGAACCTCTGTGCAGGGTGTCGCGTCTGAATGCAGTCTTGTTTACATCCACTCCTCCACACGACTGACAAGTGCCCGAGACGTTTGGAGAGATCCGGTCATTTATCAAACTAAAGTATTCTTTCCTTGGCAGTCTGGTGAACGACTGAGAGTTGACTCAACTCAAAGGCTTCCGTACTATATTGGACTGCAATATAGGATCTCAACGCTAGATAGCGCTAAAAATTACAGTGTGTACCTTTTAAGAAGAAAAAAAGTTCAGGACAACAAGAGACACCAAAATCCCCACAAAATCCTCCTAAATGAAAGCTGTAGGCTCTCTGTCAGCTGAGGTCGAACTGTTTTAATTTACATTGAGTTGTATGGGACTTTTTTCTGGGTAGCCCACATGAATTTAGTCTGCAGTACCACGGGCACGCACTGATTTTTAACGTGCCATTTTACAATATATTCTGGTTGTATACACTTAATTTATATCTGTAGTTGTTTTTACTATCTACTCTGGGGCTGTAGAAGAATGACTATATTTGATTTGATTTGACAGGGGCAGTCCCAACATGAGCTTCCGCACACAGACTTTCCCACAATGCAAAGCGAGTGATATGGCGGCTTCACCTCTTCCTCCACACCAGTGACTAGAGCTGCTGTGTTCCAATGTCTCTTCTCAGGTTCCAAAGCCCACAGCTGCTGCATGTGACATTTGAAGTGTTTCAAAAGCTTGTGAAAAGGATGTGTCCCACACTTCACAGCTAAGAAATCTCAAGTTTCCTTCTTAATCTTGTGAAAAGCTGTTTTTGTGTGTAATAAATTATTGTTTAGTTTCTGTTGTCTGTACAGACAGGTGTTTTAAAATGTATTTAACCGGCTAATAAACGTCTTCCATATATGGTGTGCGTTACAAGGCACAGGGGTTTTTAACATGTACTGTACCATTTTTGACTTTATATTCAGCCCAAAGACTGTTACCAAATATATTTTATTATCTGCTTATTAATAAAAACATCCTAAAATATGGTTCTTACTTTACTGACTCCAGGAAAGGAACTAGAACTATTGCAAAACGAGAAACTTTTAGACAGTGAACATTGCACCTACATGTATGGCATGGGGAGAAACATGTAAACGGAAAGCAGGAATTGAACCCACAACCTCTGCAGCTTTTCACATTGCCTTCCTCGAGAAGGTTTTAAATGTTGTAGATTATTAATAAGATTTAATTCTAACTTTCCTTCAAATGCAGACACCAACACTGTAATCTTCCGTTACTGTTACAGGTAACCAAACCAACAAATGTGTTGTTTTTCCTTTGAACACAAACTTTTAGAATGTTGTCTTTGTCAACAGGATGTTTGTAAAGCATAGCTGGAGTCTTGACACATTCTTGAGTTCTAGAAGAACTGAGAAGGGGCCCTGTTCTGAAAATCCTCTTCAGCACTAAATATGCTGCTCTGTTGTGAATCTGCTTGATGTTGAATAATAAAAATTGACATTTGGTGACTGAGACACACAGTCACAAAAAATTAGGTTAAATATTTGCTTTCATAATCATAGGGTCAGAACTTTACAGTTTGTTGGGTATAATTTAACCCTAACCCAGGCAACTTTTCTGGAATTTTGGCCCACTCCTCTTGAGTCATAGCAGGTTTGTGGACCTGTCTGTTAAAACCTTGGTTTTGAATAATACCTGTACGACTGAGAGCTTACAAACTTATTATTCTAACTTATCTTGCGTTTTCCCACTTTTTCAGCTCTGCCCACAAATATTTAATTGGATTGAGGTCAGGGCTGTGGTGGCCACTCTCACTCATAGACTTAGTGATGTTAAGCCGTTTTTGTGCAATTTTGGAGGTGTGCTTAGGGTCTTAGTCAATTTCTGAAAGGTGTCACTGACGCCTCCCCTCCCTCGCTGATGTCTTGAGATCCAGTTGTAGGAATGACCATCACGTTTTTGTTTAGAATTTATTTAAGAGCAGCAACACTGAAGAACAGGAATAACATAACACATTTTAAATGAATCAATAAATTTGAATATTTGTGGAGTCACAACACCCCCACCACTTCATTCCTCCACGAGGGTTAGTTGGTCCAAGGACCAACACTGCGGTCTGTGATTCAAAACTGCAGTCACTTTTGTTTCATAATTTTTTATTTATATATGTAGTGATTTTTTTACGACCAAGGTCACCCAAAGTCTTGTAAAATGTGAACAAATCCTAAAACAACAAATCCGTCTTATTATAAGCCTTTTTCTATTAATAGACAAAGCTGGGGTATCTTACTTTTGTTTCATATATAATCTGTCTAGTCACTTCCAAAAGAAACGGACAACCATGTCTTGCATGCATGCAGGAAAGAACCCATAGTTTCTTTTTTGAATCTTTAGGTTGAAAGCTGAGGTCCTGACAATTTGTGAGAACTAATAACTGACTTAGTGGCCTCGATTGATGCTTATCAAATGGTGAAAAGATTGCGTCAAATCTGAACTTATTCTTAACTTGGTCAAGGTTTATTACTTCTGAGGAAGAAGCAGTTGTTATAGCAACCAAAGTAAACAAGGTCAAAGCTATTAATACTTACCCATAGTAATGAATGAGACACCTTTTAGTTTAAAGTGTCAGATATTGTGCGATAGTTGTCTTTGAATTTGACAAGCTTTTTGCCACAAACCACAGAAAAAAGTTCAAATCAAAATTCAGCTAAAACAAAAAGTTACAGTATTTTTATCTCTTAACTATGGGGTGTATTGTATTATGTCCTCAGGATTATTGATCTTTGGGCCTTCACTGTGTACAAATGTACTTTTCAGGTGACCAGAGAAAAGCAAACAAGGCAGTTCAAAACACATTTATTATGTACCTCCTCCATAAAACACGCACACACACATACATACACGCACGCGCACACACACACATACGCGCGCACACACCATGCTGCAGCCACCGTGTAAACAACGAAAGCACTTTAAGGCCGGGCATCAAACCAATCGCTTTCAAAAATGATACTTGCAATAAAACTGTTGTAGATACACACGAGGTCATTACTCTGGACACACTAACAAAAGACATACAAAGATTTGGCCGGTCCAACCTCACGGAATGTCATTTTGTAAACTTTATGAAGAATGAATAGTAAACACAGGTGTTTGGCCTGCTTGGAAAATAGAATCATTTCATTGTACATTTTGGCAACTGCCTCAAAACCATAGTCATGTTAGATGTAAGACAGGCCAGACGCTGCAGGACCACTGAGCACCATCCCAGACTTCAATCATTCAAAAGATATTGAAGCCTGAACATTACAATTGAGACATTGTGGCATGTTGCACATCAAGATCCAATTTAAGTAATTGTAAGTAAAAGTAAGTGATCCAAGTTAAGTAATCGTCCATATTTATTTTTTAAATTAGGGTAAATAAAATAATAGTTATAGGAATTTTTTTTTCTTCATCTTGGTCTATCTGTCCACTGCTGCATAAACAATCTGTTCACAATAAAGGTACATTCATCGGGAAACGGAAGTCATGGAAAACCACTTTCATGTGTGAAATGGTTTCATAATGGTGTTTAATGACCTATTTACAGTTTTAAGGTTTTGGAAAGCTTAAACTAGTGCTAGAGTTAAACATTTTTTTGTTTGGATAGGCCGGGATGTATGCGTGGCCCTGATATAAATAGAATGAAACATAGATCTGACCTTTTGATTTTGTTATTCAGATTGGTTTTGACTTTTTATTGATATTTTTCATAAATAGCAAATTTAGTCTTCATTTTAAATACAGAAAAAACAATTTAAAGATGTGACAGAGCCAGGAACTATAGTGACCATGGAGTTTATTACAGTTCATTTTGGTTTAAAAGTTAGGGAATCCGGCTTTCTTCAAGTGGTTCTTTGTATGAGAAGTCCTCTTAAATATACTTTGGCATTTTGTGTTATAGAATGTGAAATAATTTTAGTAATGTAATATGGATACACCTGAGGATTTGTCATGACATAAAATAGGATAATTTAGACAGAAGTAGCAGAGTCGTGTTTGTGCCAGAAGTTCCTGATAATTGTGTGGATGGAGCTCCAAGAAATGTACAATCTCAGAATCGGGCTAAATAAGGTTAAAGAGGCCTCTGGGCTGTGGCGTCTGGCCTCAGTGTGCAGTGTGAAGACATGTCCAGCAGAAGGCGACAAATAGATGAGACAGACATGGCCCCTGCAGCTTTTCAACAAACTGAAAGACAGAACACACACACAGCTGCTAGACTAATCAGAAACATGCGAATACAAATATGTAAATATGCTCTTTCAAACACATAAGTTAGATTTCTGCTCTACAGAGGATCCTTTTATGGTATGTTTTGCGCAATACCTGAATCTGAACACAATTTGAGGTATGTTTTGGCACACGTAACCATACTATCATTGAGATCATAGAATGAGAACCTTTTTTCCTCAATCTGCTCCCAATAAGCTACAAAGGTTGACAATTTTTTTAGGATTTTATCATTCTTATCTTGGTGGTCAGTTTGTAGATAGAATCGTGTAACACACACACAGACTGATTTTTACATAAAGAGAATTCCCACTTTGTCGTCAAATTTGGCACAAATGACAAACTGCTTTTTATGATCCTGTAATGTTTCACCCAAATTAAATTGTATTCTTACATTGAGTTTGTCAATTTTTCCATGGGTTGCTATTGGTAACATCCCTATTGGAAAATAAAATGATAAATCATCTTTCATCTTAATCCACATTTCAACATGTTATGCTTCTATCAGGAAGAAAGTAACTTAAATTGAAAGTGCAAACAATACTATTCAACATTCTCCGCTAAAGTATATGCGTTTAATGCCATAAAGCCGAAACCAAAGTTTCCATGGAAACAAAGTGGCGATGCAAGCCCACTCAGAGTCAAGACTTCAGTGCCATAAAAAAGTATATTTGTCTATTTTTCTAAAAGGTGACTAGTGGGGCTCTAATAGTACTGTTCCACCACTGCCTGGTTTCCAGGCCAATTAAACGCAGTGTAATGTGAAGTAAAGGCAGTAAATGCCCTAAACTCTCTGGACAGTCGGAATGCAAGTGCGTGTGCTTCAACCTCTGTAGATCAGAGCTGTAAGAAGAAAACAAGGAGACAGGAGACAAACATGCAGCAAACAGAGTAGGCGGGCTGAGGGCGAGCTCAGCGCAGGAGGGAGCAGCTGATTGGTGGCCTCCAGACGCTCTAACATGCACACTTCTTCTGATTGGTGAGTGGCTCGGTGAGTTTGGTGCTGCCTGTGCCGTTAGCGCCCTCTGCGGGCGGTTTGTCCACACACTGCTCCATCCTCTTCATGACCAGGTCCAGCAGCGTGATGACCGCCTTGTCCACCTCCACGCCTGTGGCCGCGCTCGTCTCAAAGTACGGGATCCTGCGAGGGGAACACATGGAGAGGAATGAAATGCATTACTGTACATGTGGAGAAGCTTTGTTCAATTAAATTCAATTTATTCTTATATAGCTCTGAAGCCCAACAGTGGATATCTGGGAGGACTATACACAACTGATGCATTTTCCAACGCAGATCAGAGAATCAAACAGTTCAAGAACAAGATATGCAATGATAAAAAAACACATTTGTATTGGTCCATAATACAAATGGTGGCTGGAAAATGTGAAAAAACACATCTGCAAAATTCCACAGCGGCTAAACTAGACTGGTCCAAAAAATACACTCCCCTCAGCATTGACACACATGTGGAACGGAGCTTTGGGCCAAGAGCCGACTTTTGGACCATCCTGTAAAGACGTTTTCGAGAGGCAAGAAGATGCTATATGTTAGCATTGAATAATTCTTATTCCGGGTCCACCGCCATTGTCCTGGGGTTGTATTGCAAGCATGTCAGCGCACGTCATTTTGAATTTTTTTTAACTGGGACCTGCCCCCACTGTGTTAAACCCGTGTGAAGATAAATCAGAAGATCCACGAGACAAACCCACTGACTGAACACGTCACTACTCTGACACTGCCCGTAATGGTCAGAAAAAAATTGTGGCTGTTTTAATAAATGGAGATGTGTGTTTTTTTTTTTTTTTTCAAATGTATTAGGACAGTGCATATTAATCAACATGTGTTTTTCAACATGTAAATGTGCCAGGGTGAGCCACGTAGGCTAATTTTCATCTGTAGTCCAATTGCAGGTTGGTATCCCGATAGATAAAATAGGACATACAACAGTCACAAACACACAGAAACACACCACCACAAGGACATAACTCCGGTTCCTCAGTTCTGTCGGAGTCAAGTTCCATGAACGTACTGAAAAGGCAGATTGTCCAAAAAATCTTTCTAAATTAAAATTTACAATCTCCTGCAATGGGGGCGGGGCAAGTGCATTTACGTCTGAAATCTTAATCATGATTTTCCCACTTCAAAAAAATATAGGATAGATAATATTTTCTCTATCCGACCTGCTGGCAGGCATGTACTGTAGGCTGCATTAGGATTGGCCAAGACTCCCCATAAATGATCATTTTGTAGCAGACAGGAGTGCAATAGTCCCACACTTCCTTGCAGGGAGTGTGGGGGACCTACCCGTACTTATCAGCCAGCTCCTTGGCCTGCTTCTCCTGGACCTCCCGCTGGTCAGCCAGGTCGGCTTTGTTCCCTATCAAAACGATGTCAGGGTTTTCACAGTAGGCATTGGACTGCAGCTGACCTGAAGAGCCAACAGGAAACAGCAGTCACATGACACGCTCGCTGTCTCAGTATACGTGCAGGATCAGACCTCTCTAGTCTCAGTATACGTGCAGGCTCAGACCTCTCTAGTCTCAGTATACGTGCAGGCTCAGACCTCTCTAGTCTCAGTATACAGTACATGCAGGATCAGCCCACTCTAGTCTCAGTTTACATGCAGGCTCAGACCTCTCTAGTTTCAGTATACAGTACGTGCAGGATCAGCCCACTCTAGTCTCAGTTTACATGCAGGCTCAGACCTCTCTAGTTTCAGTATACAGTACATGCAGGATCAGCCCACTCTAGTATCAGTTTACACGCAGGCTCAGACCTCTCTAGTCTCAGCATACAGTATATGCAGGATCAGACCACTCTAGTCTCAGTATACATGCAGGCTCAGACCACTCTAGTCTCAGTATACATGCAGGCTCAGACCACTCTAGTCTCAGTATACATGCAGGCTCAGCCCACTCTAGTTTCAGTATACATGCAGGCTCAGACCTCTCTAGTCTCAGTATACAGTGCCTTGCGAAAGTATTCGGCCCCCTTGAACCTTTCAACATTTCGCCATATTTCAGGCTTCAAACATAAAGATATAAAATTTAATTTTTTTGTCATGAATCAACAAGTGGGACACAATCGTGAAGTGGAATGAAATTTGTTGGATAATTTAAACTTTTTTAACAAATAAAAAACTGAAAAGTGGTGCGTGCAATATTATTCGGCCCCTTTACTTTCAGTGCAGCAAACTCACTCCAGAAGTTCAGTGAGGATCTTTGAATGATCCAATGTTGTCCTAAATGACTGATGATGATAAATAGAATGCACCTGTGTGTAATCAAGTCTCCGTATAAATGCACCTGCTCTTTGATAGTCTCATGGTTCTGTTTAAAGCGCAGAGAGAACCATGAAGACAAAGGAACACACCAGGTAGGTCCGAGATACTGTTGTGGAGAAGTTTAAAGCCGGATTTGGATACAAAAAGATTTCCCGAGCTTTAAACATCTCAAGGAGCACTGTGCAAGCAATTATATTGAAATGGAAGGAGTATCAGACCACTGCAAATCTACCAAGACCCGGCCGTCCCTCCAAACTTTCATCTCAAACAAGGAGAAGACTGATCAGAGATGCAGTCAAGAGGCCCATGATCACTCTGGATGAACTGCAGATAACTACAGCTGAGGTGGGGATGGTGTGTTCAGGGTGATGAGCTGTGTTGCTTTTACGCCAAACATATCGTTTTGCATTGTGGCCAAAAGGTTTGATTTTGGTTTCATCTGACCAGAGCACCTTCTTCCACATGTTTGGTGTGTCTCCCAGGTGGCTTGTGGCAAACTTTAAGAGACTTTTTATGGATCTTTGAGAAATGGCCACTCTTCCATAAAGGCCAGATTTGTGCAGTGCACGACTGATTGTTGTTCTATGGACAGACTCTCCCACCTCAGCTGTAGTTATCTGCAGTTCATCCAGAGCGATCATGGGCCTCTTGGCTGCATCTCTGATCAGCCTTCTCCTTGTTTGAGATGAAAGTTTGGAGGGACGGCCGGGTCTTGGTAGATTTGCAGTGGTCTGATACTCCTTCCATTTCAATATAATTGCTTGCACAGTGCTCCTTGAGATGTTTAAAGCTTGGGAAATCTTTTTGTATCCAAATCTGGCTTTAAACTTCTCCACAACAGTATCTCGGACCTGCCTGGTGTGTTCCTTTGTCTTCATGGTTCTCTGAGCTTTAAACAGAACCCTGAGACTATCAAAGAGCAGGTGCATTTATACGGAGACTTGATTACACACAGGTGCATTCTATTTATCATCATCAGTCATTTAGGACATTGGATCATTCAAAGATCCTCACTAATTTTGCACGCCCCACTTTTCAGTTTTTTATTTTTTTAAAAGTTTAAATTATCCAATAAATTCCGTTCCACTTCACGATTGTGTCCCACTTGTTGTTGATTCATGACAAAAAATATTTTTTTTATATCTTTATGTTTGAAGACTGAAATGTGGCGAAATGTTGAAAGGTTCAAGGGTGCCGAATACTTTCGCAAGGCACTGTACATGTAGGATCAGACCTCTCTAGTCTCAGTATACATGTCATGTTTCAACCACAACATGTTTTTACTGAAAGACCACAACAAAGTTAGACAAGTGGGGATTGAGCATTCGTACACATGTGTTTATGCATTCATTTGTGTATTTGTGTGTAACATACTCATCCAGTTGCGGACATTGAGGAAGCTCTGCTGGCTGGTGAGGTCAAACATGAGCAGGAAGCCCATGGCATCTCTGAAGAAGGCAGTGGTCAGGCTCCGAAACCTGGAAGCAGACCAGGCCCATAAACACACATGCCCCATAACATCATATTTCCAGATACTTGTAAGGGACTGGCTTCTCATGAGACTGTCTGAAATAATGCAAAAAGAACATTTGGTGGACTGAACAGCGGTGATTGTGTCATTCAAATTTATTGAAATTAAAATCCATCCATCCATTTTCTTCCGCTTCATCCGTTGCCGGGTCGCGGGGGCAGCAGTCTAAGCAGAGACACCCAGACTTCCCTATCCGCACACACTTCCTCCAGCTCGTCCGGGGGGACCCCAAGGCGTTCCCAGGCCAGCTGAGAGACATAGTCCCTCCAGCGTGTCCCAGGTCTTCCCCGGGGCATCCTCCCTATCTCTAAGGGAGCGCCCAGCCACTCTGCGGAGGAAGCTCATTTCGACCGCTTGTATCCGCGATCTCGTTCTTTCGGTCATTACCCAAAGCTCATGACCATAGGTGAGGGAGGGAACGAAGATTGACCGGTAAATCGAGAGCTTTGCCTTTCGGCTCAGCTCCCTCTTTACCACAACGGTCCAATACAGCGACCGCATCACTGCGCACGCTGCACCAATCCGCCTGTCAATCTCACGCTCCATCCGTCCCTCACTTGTGAACAAGACCCTGAGATACTTGAACTCCTCCACTTGAGGAAGGACTTCCCCACCCACCTGGAGAGGGCAAGGCACCTTTTTCCGGTCGAGCACCATGGCCTCGGATTTTGAGGTGCTGATTCTCATCCCAGCCGCTTCACACTCGGCTGCAAACCGTCCCAGTGCATGTTGCAGGTCCTGGTTTGTTGGAGCCAACAGGACAACATCATCCGGATGAAATCCTGAGGTCCCCAAACCGGACCCCCTCCGACCCTGGCTGCGCCTAGAAATTCTGTCCATAAACACAGTGAACAGAACCGGTGACAAAGGGCAGCCCTGGCGGAGGCCAACATTCACCGGGAACAGGTCTGACTTACTGCCGGCAATGCGAACACAGCTCTGGCTCCGGTCATACAGGGACCGGACGGCCCTCAGCAGAGGATCCCGGACCCCGTACTCCCGGAGAACCCCCCAAAGGACACCCCGGGGAACACGGTCGAACGCCTTCTCCAAATCCACAAAGCACATGTGGACAGGTTGGGCAAACTCCCATGAACCCTCGAGTATCCGATGGAGAGTATAGAGCTGGTCCAGTGTTCCGCGACCGGGACGAAAACCACACTGCTCCTCCTGAATCCGAGATTCGACAATCGGCCGTAGCCTCCTCTCCAGTACCTTGGAGTAGACCTTACCGGGGAGGCTGAGGAGTGTGATCCCACGATAATTGGAACACACCCTCCGGTCCCCCTTCTTGTAGAGAGGGACCACCACCCCGGTCTGCCACTCCATTGGCACCGCCCCCGATCGCCACGCGATGTTGCAGAGACGTGTCAGCCAAGACAGTCCCACAACATCCAGAGACTTTAGATCAGCCATTCCAAAACTCAGTAACACCGAGGCCCCCTTAAAAATCTGACGAGTCTGCGTGGCCCCCCAAAATAATAACCAAGAAGACAACATTAAGAATAGGCTCTTCTGGTTATTTTATTTTAGGGAAATAGCCTCTGCTACAAACATTGTAATACAAAAATGATTACAGTGGATTATTCAAGTCAAATAATGAACACAAATATTTTAATATTACAAACAAAACATTATAAATTTAACATTAAATTATGATATTTTTTTTTTTATGACCTCCCGCGGCCCCCCTGCAGTACCCTCGCGGCCCACCAGGGGGCCGCGGACCCCACTTTGGGAGACACTGCTTTAGATAATCAGGACGGATCTCATTCTCTCCCGTGCCTTGCCACCATGGAGGCTGCGAACCACCTTGGTGACCTCTGCCAGGGAGATAGAAGTATCCACCCCAACATCCTCAGCCTCTGAGGAATAAATAAATTACTTTATTTATTTGTGAGGAACTTATTTTGTAGACAATAAGTTCCTCACTTATTATGGTCTGATTACTTTGTAGACAATAACAAAGTAATCAGATCATAATCTGCCTCAGCTGAAGCAGACCCGGCCCATATCAACTGTTGCTGATGTGGCCCTCTCAGTCCTGAGTGTGTGAGCAGTCTGTGCGAGCCTTTTCTCAACACTCTGTTAGTAAATGTACTGTAGAGGTTGATAAAATAGTGTTGCCATAGCGACACAGATCAGGGAAGAGTATGTTTCTATAGTTACACACTCACCCAGAGCTGTGTTAAAGGCCTTTATGGGTTAGGAATACATCAATACCAGAAGCATGCGACCATGCGACCCATCTGACTGCTGACACACATGTGAAGGTCTCATCAGCTGCTAAGCAGGACAGTGTGTCCTTAGGCAAGACACTTCCCCCACATTTCCTAGAATCAGTCTGGTGTGTGTTAGCGAATGATTTGTGGTTGTCGGACTCGGAGGGGCCGATGGTTCAGATTAATTGCACGCTATAAGTAGTAGTAGTAGTAGTAGTAAGTAATCTTTATTTATATACCGCCTTTTCACTGCAGATCTGAGTCTCAAAGCGGTTTACAATTGTTATTATTTTATTTTGGGCATTTGTCTCTCACTCCACACAGAGATGGGAGGGGCCAGTACAGGAGGCACATGCCAGAACTATTGTACATATTTTTAGTGGTAGGGGAAACCGGAGTACCCGGAGGAAACCTACGCAGACACGGGGAGAACATGCAAACTCCACTCAGAAAGGCCTTGGTCCGACCGGGATTCAAACCCAGGACCTTCTTGCTGAGAGGCGAGAGTGCTATCCACTCAGCCACCGTGCCGCCAGGCACGTATATATATATTGTATAACAATACAGGGCAGCTGTGGATACGCCTATAATTCACCACCACCGAGTGAATGAAAACAGTCCGTCCAGTTTAGTACTCACAGGTAGAAATTACACTATTTGATCCCTTTTTAATAAGTTATCTCTGTGATTTGAAAAAGTGTATCATTGTTTTGGTCCCCTCACTGGTAATGATTGTGTTTGGCAAAGGAATGGAAAGAGCTGGATTGGCTTGTGTTTTTCATTGTAAATAAATGTCTGGTTGTTCAAAGTACCCCGGCGCTCGCTCTCAGCTCTGAACCCTCGCCGTCTGCCCTTATCATTAGTATGCCCATAAAAAAAAGATAGGATAAGATATACTTTATTGATCTCACAAAGGAGAAATGTTAATTTCACATCTAGCATGGATAGAAACACTCAAGATTGTGCAAAAGAAAGAAATGTGCAAACATGTTAAATGCAGGATATATTAGCTACAATAAAAAAGTGTAGATCAGAAATAGTGTCAATATTAGTGCAGGTTTTTCAGTCTTAATACAGTGACTTAAAGTGACTTATTGTACAGTCTGACAGCAGTGGGGATAAAGGCCCTGCTCCTTCTTACACTGAGGGTGTCTCAGTCTTCCACTGAAGGAGCTCCTCAGCTCCTCTACAGTCCTGTGCAGTGGGTGGGAGGTATTGTCACAAGAGACCCCCGTTCATGAATGTTGTTAAATTGACACCTCCTGCAACCTGCTCCTGTCGGCTAGAGTAATCATCTCCTCATTATGAGAGATCCGTATTATATAAAAAGTTGTTTGAAATCTTAATATTAATTTCAAAATCTTTAATAAAAGACAGAATGAAGTCAATGTGCACTTATGTATACAGTCCTGCTGCATCGCACTTTGCCCCTTTACGCAACATCAGGTCACATCCATGTATCAAACTGAGTATAAACAGAGCGAATGTCACAAAGATGTCTCAGGTGTAGGAGAATATTAATGAGTATGTGGGCTTACCTCTCCTGTCCCGCCGTGTCCCAAAGCTGCAGGTGAACTTTGAAGGTTTTTCCGGTGGTGTTCCCGTTGGGGTTGGATGCAGTGTAGATCTGAGCACAAGCACAGGACATCATCAGCCAGGCGAAATTTCCTTTTCCTCATTTAAAAAGCAGCATATGTGAGGATCTCCATAGTAACACACTCTGTTCCATGCTGTGATGTATACGTCAGAAGAACTAATACAAATTAAATGGGAGTAAACTTTTTTTAGGAATCTTACAGTTGAAACACAAAACTATAATCCGTGGTTGTGTCCATGTGGTGTACTGACATAAGAAGTGAGAAGCCAGTAGTAGCCAGTGAGAAATGAAGAGTTCTATTCATTTTATTAGGACACAGCTGTACAAGAACAACAACCCTAACATTACACACTTGAACAAGAACTAGATGTTTTTCATTTTTCTTCATGAGACTTCTGCTTTCCTAGAAATGCAAGATGGCTGCCACAGTCGCCACCCACACCACTCTGTTACTACCAGTGTGTGGACCAAAACATCCTCAAGGAGTCTCAGTAGCTTTTAGAAAAACTATATCATGCAGATGATGATCTGAAAGTCCTTTTCACTATATCTGGATGAGATGAAACTTTCTGAAGTTAAATCCAGGTGAAATGCACATGTTCCTCTCTAGCACAGATGCTTGAATACTGCACTTCCATTTGTCACAAGTTAAAACATTCTATGCACCTACTTGAACTATTGTCAAAGGAAAATTGTCTGACACAAATTTTATTTTTTTTAGAACAACCACTTCTCTATGTTCTCCAACGAAAGGCCTATGTATACTCATGCATCACTGGGCTAGTGGTGGCCCTTGCACGACCAATGCAAGGATCACCGCACAGCCGCAAGAACCCCTTGCGCTATCACCCATGCACCCTCAGCTTTTTCTAACTACGCAGCAGGCAGCGCAGAGAAGATCCGTTGTGATTGGCCTGTGCATTTTGGATGGAAGCATGGAACGGCTGCTGTAGAACATGGACGAGGCACTTTAAGGCAGATTTCTACGAAGGAAAAGCAGTTTGGGCTCGTGGCTCACAAGCCTGATACACGAAGAGGCTGTGGACTAGAGTTCTGTTGCATATTGCACCGACCATTTACAGTAGTTGCTTTTGCTCTGCTCTTGTGCCCGTCTTTGTTGAATCTGTACCTATACAGAGTAATCACGTCTGCACCTTGTTACATTCATCCTGCACTTGTAAATGTTTTGTCTCAGATCGTTATCACTTTACATTGTTTTACTTGTTTTTGCACAAATGCAATTTAATAATTACAATCTGTTTCCAACAAGAACTGTGTATTTATTCACAGCATCAGAGTTGAAGTTAGTTATGAAATAATGAGTCTCTGGTACTGTCACATAAACTCCTAGAATACAGATTTAATGAGATTCGGATTGATCTTAAACAGCTTAGTTTGCCATTGTTTTTGTTCGGAAGGGGAAAAAGTAGCTAGCTTTACCTGCACAAGTACCTGCACCTGCACAAGAAGGGCCAAAGTTGCCTCTTCCTTCTGAGGAGGCTGAGGTCCTTCGGAGTGAGCAGGCCTCTGCTCAGGACTTTTTATGACTCTGTGGTAGCTTCTGCCATTTACTACGCTGCCGTGTGCTGGGCCCCGGGCAGCACAGAGCGGGACAGAAACAGACTGAACAAGCTGGTAAGGAGGGCCAGCTCCACTCTGGGCTGCTCCCTGGACTCTGTGGAGGAGGTGAGGGACAGGAGGGTGCTAGCCAAAGCCACCTCCATCATGAACAATACCTCCCACCCACTGCACAGGACTGTAGAGGAGCTGAGGAGCTCCTTCAGTGGAAGACTGAGGCACCCTCAGTGTAGGAAGGAGCGCTACCGCAGGGCCTTTATCCCCACCGCTGTCAGACTGTACAATAAGTCACTTTAAACGATCACTGTGTGAAAACCTGCACTACTATTGACACCGTTTCCAATTGACACTTGTCACTTTTGTTGCACATAATTATTGTCACTTTATTGTACATATATATCCTGCATGTAACATGTTTGCACATTTCCTCCTTTTGCACAATCTGAGTGTCTCTATCCATGCCAAATGTGACATGTAAATTTCTCCTATGTGAGATAAATAAAGCAAATCTTAATCTTAATCTTAATCTTACTCTTTGGTGTTCCAGGCAACTCCTGTGAGATCGCCATCATGTGGTTGTGGTGTCGGATTACAACATTCTCTTCAAAACTATGCATGGGGGTACGCTCAAGTATATGCACAACTGTGGTTGTGTAATCAACAACAGGTCCAGCGCTAATGCAACCAGTGACGCCAGAGTATACACATGCATGTCCTGGAAATAGTATGCAGTAAAGTTTCTAATTGGAGCGTACATCCACAGGAAGGAAAATATTGTTTGTGTAAACAATGTGCAATAGCTGCTGGGAAAAGATTTGTAACTCCAGTCCTCTAAAGCTCTATGAAGGGGAACTCACCACTCTCTTTTCCCTGAAGTCGATGCCCACTGTGGTGATGAATTTGGGGTTGAACTTGTTGTCCGTGTAGCGGTACAAGAAGGTGGTCTTGCCCACACCGGAGTCCCCCAGTGCCAACAGCTTGATCAGGTAGTCATAATCCCCATCAGTCATGGTGAGGACTGGGAGGAGCCTGCCAACAAACAGCACAAGGGTGTATGTTAAAGCCACTGTACGTAACTTTCAAACCCATCCATCCATCCATCCATTTTCTTCCGCTTCATCCGTTGCCGGGTCGCGGGGGCAGCAGTCTAAGCAGAGACGCCCAGACTTCCCTATCCACACACACCTCCTCCAGCTCGTCCGGGGGGACTCCAAGGCGTTCCCAGGCCAGCTGAGAGACATAGTCCCTCCAGCGTGTCCTGGGTCTTCCCCGGGGCCTCCTTCCGGTGGGGCATGCCCGGAACACCTCCCCAGGGAGGCGTCCAGGACAGGGACGTGCAGTCAGGGGAGGCAGGGGAGGCAGAGCCTCACCTGCCATTATTGGAAACTAATAATTATTTTAGTTTAAATATATAATTTATATCCACTGTCCTATGCTTTTAATGTATATTCGGCACGGTTCCCATCAGTTTTGATCATTTCTGAAGTCAAAATCGCCGAAATCCCGTTATTCCTATTCAAAGAGACGAGGTGAGGCAGCGCTCCTGCGTGCCTCACCCCAGACCGCTCCCTCACAGTGTGTGTGTGTGTGTCTGAGTGCACTCAGCTCGTGCAGTTGATATATCACCGTTTGTTTCAAATATCCTGCTTTAAAAACATTTTTTAAACTCCTCTTAGTGTTTAGTAGTGTATTGCACGTATGTGTGTACAATTTATATTTAGTTTAAGTCTTTTGATCGTAGATGAACACACAAGGAAAAAGCTTGGCGTGAGGCAGGCGGTATCTGTGCCTCACCGCTAGGGGTGATAGTGAGCATAAAGTTCATACCAGAGTTGCTAACAAACAATCAGCCCAAAATGCTATTTCTTTTGCTGGAAAATGGATGATTTGAATGAAGATTTTTTTTCTCAATTGGACTTTCAAACAAAGAAAGAATTAATATAGACTGGGAGACCACCACTGGACTTACGAGGTTAGTCCGGCTGCGGGGGAGGAGTTTGTTAATCTGTGTTTTATGTTGAACATTGACAGATACCGGCAAAGTAGTGCTTTTCCGAAAAACACTGATTCAAACACTGCTCAAGAGTTCTGCAACTTGTTTAAATTATTGTTTATGTTCCTCGCGTCTCTCTCTCCTCGCGTCTCTCTCTCCTCGCGTCTCCGTCTCTCTCTGCTCCTCGCGTCTCCGTCTCTCGCTCTCTCTGCTCTCTCTCTGTCTCTCTCTGCTCTCTCTCTCCTCGCGTCTCCGTCTCTCTCTGCTCCTCGCGTCTCCGTCTCTCTCTGCTCCTCGCGTCTCCGTCTCTCTGCTCCTCTCTGTCTCTCTCTGCTCCTCTCTCCTCGCGTCTCTCTCTCCTCGCGTCTCTCGCACCTGCGCTTCTTAAAGATGTTGTTTGATGCGGAGCAGAGTCAGCAGCTAGATTTGTTGTGAGATTATTAAAAGAAGCTGGTTCTCTTATCTTTACAGTATATAAAGTTTGTGGATGTCATTGCATTGGTGATTAAATGCTATTTTATTTGAATAATGATTGTAAATCTGACTTTTAAAGTCAGTGCCTCCCCAATCACAAACCTCACCGCACGTCCCTGGTCCAGGAGGCATCCGGAACAGATGCCCGAGCCACCTCAACTGGTTCCTCTCGACGTGGAGTAGCAGCGGTTCTACTCCGAGCTCCTCCCGTGTGACTGAGCTCCTCACCCTATCTCTAAGGGAGCGCCCAGCCACTCTGCGGAGGAAGCTCATTTCGACCGCTTGTATCCGCGATCTCGTTCTTTCGGTCATTACCCAAAGCTCATGACCATAGGTGAGGGAGGGAACGAAGATTGACCGGTAAATTGAGAGCTTTGCCTTTCGGCTCAGCTCCCTCTTTACCACAACGGTCCGATACAGCGACCGCATCACTGCGCACGCTGCACCGATCCGCCTGTCAATCTCACGCTCCATCCTTCCCTCACTCGTGAACAAGACCCCGAGATACTTGAACTCCTCCACTTGAGGAAGGGCCTCTCCACCCACCCGGAGAGGGCAAGGCACCTTTTTCCGGTCGAGCACCATGGCCTCAGATTTGGAGGTGCTGATTCTCATCCCAGCCGCTTCACACTCGGCTGCAAACCGTCCCAGTGCATGTTGTACGTCCTGGTTCGTTGGAGCCAACAGGACAACATCGTCTGCAAACAGCAGAGATGAAATCCTGAGGTCCCCGAACCGGACCCCCTCCGACCCTTGGCTGCGCCTAGAAATTCTGTCCATTAATACAGTGAACAGAACCGGTGACAAAGGGCAGCCCTGGCGGAGGCCAACATGCACCGGGAACAGGTCTGACTTACTGCCGGCAATGCGAACACAGCTCTGGCTCCGGTCATACAGGGACCGGACGGCCCTCAGCAGAGGACCCCGGACCCCGTACTCACGGAGGACCCCCCAAAGGACACCCCGGGGAACACGGTCGAACGCCTTCTCCAAATCCACAAAGCACATGTGGACAGGTTGGGCGAACTCCCATGAACCCTCGAGTATCCGATGGAGAGTGTAGAGCTGGTCCAGTGTTCCACGGCCGGGACGAAAACCACACTGCTCCTCCTGAATCCGAGATTCGACCATTGGCCGTAACCTCCTCTCCAGTACCTTGGAGTAAACCTTACCAGGGAGGCTGAGGAGTGTGATCCCACGATAATTGGAACACACCCTCCGGTCCCCCTTCTTGTAGAGAGGGACCACCACCCCGGTCTGCCACTCCATTGGCACCGCCCCCGATCGCCACGCGATGTTGCAGAGACGTGTCAGCCAAGACAGTCCTACAACATCCAGAGACTTTAGATAGTCGGGACGGATCTCATCTACTCCCGGCGCCTTGCCACCAAGGAGGCTGCCAACCACCTTGGTGACCTCTGCCAGGGTGACAGAAGTATCCGCCCCAACATCCTCAGCCTCTGCCTCCGGAGCGGAGGACGTGACGGGGGGATTGAGGAGAACCTCAAAGTATTCCTTCCACCGTCCGACAATATCCCCGGTCGAGGTCAGCAGCTCACCCCCCGCACCGTACACGGTGTTGGCAAAGAACTGCTTCCCCCTCCTGAGGCGCCGGACAGTTTGCCAGAATCTCTTCGAGGCCGACCGATAGTCATGCTCCATGGACTCTCCGAATTCCTCCCAGTCCCGGGTTTTTGCCTCTGCAACAGCCCGGGCCGCGGCACGCTTGGCCTGCTGGTACTGGACAGCTGCCTCAGGAGTCCCCCGAACCATCATGGCTCGATAGGACTCCTTCTTCAGCCTGACGGCATCCCTTACTGCCGGTGTCCACCACCGGGTTCGGGGGTTGCCGCCGGGACCAGCACCAGAGACCTTGCGACCACAGCTACGAGCCGCCGCATCGGAGGAAGAGAACATGGTCCACTCAGACTCAATATCCCCCTCCTCCGCCAGGACCTGGGAGAAGCTCTCCCGGAGGTGTGAGTTGAAAGTCCGTCTGACAGGGGTCTCAGCGAGACGTTCCCAGCAGACCCTCACTACACGCTTGGGTCTGCCAAGCGTGAGCCCGGCCGGGCCCCGTGGGCTAAGGCCCGGCCACCAGGCGCTCGCATTCGAGCCCCGACCCCAGGCCTGGCTCCAGGGTGGGGCCCCGGCTGCGCCATGCCGGGCGACGTCACAGTTCTTCTTTTCGTGCTGTCCAGCACTTTCAAACCACAAATTAATTTAGAAATTGCACAATGGTTGAAGCTATTGCAAGTGACTGCATTATGTTAAACTTGTTAACAGCGATTATAGTTGGAATAAGATGTTAAAATGGGTATTGTGCTAGAAAGGTTCCCCACACCAACACACACCCACACTTACTTCATGATTGTTGACTGGAAATCAGCACACCATGCCCAAATGCACCGTTCATAAAGTCTTGCTTCTGACCCAACCAGCCCACATAGACATAACAAACACATACATATGGCTTTTGCTGCTATAGTAGTTATAGTCGCCATTGTCTTCATAAGGAACCAGCAGCATCCTCTCTGCTTGCTCCTATGATTTGTACAGTATTGTATCATAATTTTATATATAAAATGTTATTGCAGTAGCAATATGACAAATCATTATTAAATGGTCTTAATCTGTTGAAAGGCATTCATAAACCATGCTCTTTTCCAATACTTCTTTAACTGATAACAGTAGTTCAGCAAAGATATTCAAATTTCATAATTAGTTTTACAGCCCCTAAATCGGGTTATAGTTTTCATTTCGATGTCCCGACCTGCACCGTTTCACCAATCAGAAAGTCTGTGATCCAGGTTGCCAGAAGTCACAGCACCGAGCTAATCTCACTGGTAAAGGACCATGTTGGTGTAGCACTAAAAGAAAGTCTTGTTTCTCAAATCATTAACAACAAAACAAGAAAAAAAAAAAGAATATTTCTATCGGGATGCTTTTGTGAAAAAGATGTTGGTTATAGATTTATTGTCGACAAAACTCTAGTCTATTCAGATTTTATGTTCCCAACTGGATTCATTTGTCTGCATATCTGGCAACCTGAATCAGGGAGAGGCTGCAGTACCACTTTTGGCCAGATTTTTACATACTGCTCCTTTAAGTACATTTCCCGCTAAATCACGTGTGTTTGTTTGAGATAATCCATGTACGTGTATTAATAGTCAGGGTCATCATGGATATATTATCTGGATAGGATATTGCTAGCTTAATTTCATACCTTAGAAGTGTATGCTGATGTTTATTATGCCTTACTCTATTCTCAATTCTTTACCTCTCTCGTTACTTACGTGGCAATAAAAAGGATTTTGTTTAAACCTGTATCAACATGGACAAAGGGCTATCAGCAACACTGCATCTTAAATTCATGTGAGCTGTAAGGAAAGTGTCCCCATCAACCTCAAAGTTAATTAAAACAGTTTGTCCACAGCCGACACACTGCTGCTTTCACAAAGATCTAATTTCTCTGCAAAGAGGACTGTGAGAGGCCTGCTCTGAAACTTTAACCAAGCTCTTAAAATAATCAATAACTCTTCAGGCCCCTAGAAATGCCATGTTACAGCTTCATCCCTCCGGTAGAAGATATCGTTCGCTGAGATGCAGGACCTCTCAATATGCCAGCAGCTTCTTTCCACAAGCCATTATCAGTTTAAACTAAACACTTTAATGACCTTGCGCTTGGTTTTTGTTGATTGGTTTCACTGTGTCGATTGTTTGTGTACTTTTTAGGTTGTTTTATTTTATATATTTATCTGGTGCACACTACGG